AGGGGGGAGAAAAAGGAACATGGAGGAGGGAAGGAAGAGGAGAAGATGTGTGAGGAAGAGGGGAGATGAAAGGAAAGAGACAGGTGTGAAGGGAGAGTCAGGGGTAGAGACAGATGGAGGAGAAGAGGTGAAAACATGACAGAAGAATTTTCAGGAGAAGGTGGAGACTCTACTGAGATAAGGCGGCAGGTTGTCCGGTAATCAAACTAGGGTTGCTGATTCAATCCTAACTCATTCCTTGAGCAGGGCACGTCCCTTGCCTCATTTATGTTGGTGACAAGACCAAATGGCAGCTGTGGCTATGGTGCAGTTTACCATCACTTCTAGTGAGTGAGTAAATGATTGATGGACTCTTCGTGAAACACCATCACCATCCATGAGAGGAGATGAGTGGAACAATTTCCTGAATCTGTCTGTTGTAGGACACAGAGGAAGGGGGGAGAAAAGAGAAAGGAGGAGAACATCTGCAGGAAGTCAGCGTGGACAACGACAAGGAGGAAGGTTTCCATAAAGAGAAGCTTGTTTCATTGGTTTGAAACGCAACCTGTTCTGAGGAGAAGTGAAAGAGCAGCAGTGTGAGGAAGAGGAGGAGGCAGGAAGTGGAACAGTGAGGAGGTCACAGAGGTTCTGTGGTAGATTCTTTACTCAGATCTGACGAAGCCAAAAAGGGACGACTTCACAGCAAGAAACCATGTTTGAAGTGTTAAAACTAAAGCTAATGGGGCTGCACGGTGGTGCAGTTGGTAGCACTGTTGAGAGTTCAAATCCTGGCAGTCTTTCTGTGTGGTGTTAGCGTGTTGTCCCCATGTGTGCATGACTTTTCTTCGGTTACCCCCCTACGGGTCCTACAAACCAAAAACATCCACGTTTGGTTAAAGAGCAAGTCACCCCCTACCAGAGTCTTACTCAGCTCCCACTTCCTGTTTGAAAAATGCAACAAATGCTGTTGCCTAGCAGACCGAGAGGGCAGAGCCGCTAACAAATACACACACACAGGCCCACAACGACATTGTGACATCATATGGTACCAGGCCAGCTAACGTTCTAGGGTACAAATGCAGAGCAGAGTTTTTACCTGACAACGGCACAACACTGACAGTTTTAGACAGAAAATTTAAATTTTTACTAAAATGCACTAAAGTGCAAAACTATTGACTACACGTGTCTGCAGCACGATTAGACACACATTTAAATAATTTATCAAAAAGAAAAAGTTGATTTGGGGGTGACTTGCTCTTTAAGTATTCCTGATTTTGACCATGTGATCCTGTCTAAAGGACATCTGGAAAACCTCCTGCTATTAGCCCCCAAATTCTGTTCTCTGTCTTTAAAGATCTTTATTTGCTCACCTAAACAAAGAAGCATTTCTGTGCAGCATTAGGTGTACAGAAAACACACCACACTGTTTCTCGTGGGATTCAAACCCACAACTCGTCATTCTGCAATGGCGCAGCAGCTCCTGGATGTGTTCTGCTGCAGTGACAGGACCGCCAAGCAGCCATTTAGCTAATTCCCATCAGACTCTTGGCTCCTCCGTGGCTTCAGTGGGAGGCCAACACGTTGGAGGCCCTTGCCAATAATTAAGCATTAGCATATTGAGCTGAACTGATAAAACTGTCAGTCACAGGCAGGTTCTGGTGCCAGCACTGAGCAGCACACTCATACATCACAATCATGTCCCAAAACCTAAAAAGTAGATAACCAGCTGGTGTGGTAGAACTCTAAAGGCTTTTTTACACTTCGTAATTAGACCGGCGCTGGACCGGTTTCTATGGAAAACCGCCAGGATGCTGTCTTCTGAGCTGTGTCCAACTCAAACACGTTTGGATTTTTGTTGCTCATGTTGAAGTTCTCAGCAATGGCCTCTTTTCCTCAATAGCTTCTGTTCAATAGTGGCCGTTTCTCAATCTGCGTACTTGTGAAACATTACAAGTGTTAGCCCAAGTACACATCACAGCAAATACGCTGAAAGTCCTCGTGTTCTTGCTCCGCCCACCGATCGAGGACGCATCAACGCTTCCATGTGCGGACTTGGCCCGACAAGGTTTCCCACATCACAAACTGCTATTCCCCAAACCGAAAATGACTGTAACAGTTTTTATCTAAAAAAACAGAAATAATTAAAGCTAGGTTAATAAATAAAAAGCAGTTAGCTTAGTGTTGTAACATGGCGTTTATACCTTATAAAGATCAAAAAAATGTGCCAGAAATGTGGATTTAAAAGGCTTAATAGGCTGTTTTTGTCATGAACTGAACTAGAAGGACCCGTGATGACACCAAACACAGTAATGCACCTTTAAAAGTCTTTATTAGATGTGACGTTACCCAAGGAGGGCGAGGCGGGAGACAGAGCTGGAGAGAAGGCGTGGGTCAAAAACCAGAACGAGGCGAAGAAGGTAAATGGAGCAGGCTAGGGAAGAGGTCAAAGACAGGCGAGGGTCGTGAGGGCAGGCAGAGTCCTAGGCAGGGGTCAGGCGTGAAAACGAGGTCCGGAGGCTGTGATCAGGCAAGGTGGAAGGCTGGAAGATCTACTGGCAAAGAGCGTTCAATAATCTGGCAGGGAACTGGTGGCTGGCTGGTGAATAAATAGCAGTGGAAGCAGGTGTGTGTGATGAGCTGATGACAGGGTGCAGGTGATGGTAATTAAGTGGCAGAGGGCTAGATTGAGGAGGCAGCAGAGGCAGAGGAGGGTGTGAGCCTGGGAGTCATGACAATTTTAAAAGTAACGATGTGTGTTTTCCCTGGCAACAGGGGGCAGTGCACACCTAAATCATTGTAAACAAGCAGTTTTTCTGTGTTTGAGTAAGACCTTACCAACAGATGGCCATTAGGGGCAAAAATCCCTGGGTGTGCAACCTCCAGCAAAACGACAAGCACATCAGACTCCCTTTCATCACTGGCAATGAGCAAAACTGAAAATGTGTAAAACAACAATGTTTAAGAATGGAGACATTTTTGTAACCGCTTGTTACAAATCAGAAAATGTTTCTGTCCTCACGGACTCCCGTAGAAGGAAACATGGCATCACTCAGAGACTCAAGGTGTTTCTCAATGTCAAGGCGCCTGGCCTTGCGAGGACGCTGTCCTTCCTTAGTCAAAGAAAATGGTTAAATGGAACAGACTTGCATCACGTGACCGCGGCTTCCACGGCGGTCACATAACGTCACGTGACACAGGAGATAACGTTATATTTTACACGTATTAGTTTCACTATAAATATATAACGAGCCTTTTACTTTTTAAATTGTGTATATATTTGTTAAATTAAATATATTAGTGAGTTACTACCCGCTAGCCACCGAAGCTGAAACTACTAAGCAACTAACCAACCATAGATAACTTCTTTGGTTCTAAAAAAACATTTTAAATTAGCTGACTTACTTTTAAACTTGAAAATTGTTCCTGAAGTAGCTGCCGGCTTCTCATCCGCCATCCTTTTGAAAATACTGCGGTATTGTGGGTAATTTTTGGCCAAGGCTAGGCTACAAGACACCTCTGTGTATCCTTGCTCAGCTAGCTAAACGGCTAACAAACGGAGAACACATGCCTCGGTAGAACATGAACATTGGAATCGATTGGAACACGTCTTGGCGGCTCCTGATGACATATCTCCTAGGCAACCGGGGCGGGGCCAAGACATCAAGGCAACGTTCCTTGACATTGAGTGGGTGTTTCTCAATGTCAAGACGCCTGGCCTCACAAGGCAATGTCTTGCTTGGCCCGGCGCTTTGCTAATGAGGACACTGTCCTTAAAAAACATTTCAAATATCAGCCCAATATCTACAATTAGCTGACTTACATTTAAACTTGAAATTCGCCTCCGAAGTAGCTGCCGGCTCCTAATCCGCTATTTTAAAAATACAGCGCTGTATTCTGAGTAATTTTTGACCAAGGCCAGGGTTGGAGACATCTCCCATGTATCCTTGCTCAGCTAGCTAAACGGCTAACAAACAGAGAACAGATGCCTCGGTGGAGCATGAATATTGGAACACACCTTGGCGGTTCCTGATGATGTATCTCCTAGGCAACCGGGGTGGGACCAAGGCATCAAGGTGAGGTTTCTTGGCATCGACGGATCGGGGTCGATCTGAATCTGGGGGGGACAGATCCCCCCCATCCCACACCCTATCTGCGCGCCTGGTCGTAACCTAAAGGAATATGTGTTTTTTCACAATATTGCATCTGTGCCAGCCCATTTAAAGCATTAGTATACTTGCTGTGTTTTGCAGAGTATTTTCTTTAGTCACTGTTCAAAACTGATGACAATATAGTTTTACACACACGTATATAGTTTATAGATTTCTAATTTTCTGTGACGTTTTAATTGAAAACGTGTGCCATGAAATAGATCTTTAACATGCCGGGTCTCTTTGAGATGTCAGAAGTCTGTTTAAGACTGGGTTTATTCAGGGAAACATTTTATCTCATCTTCACTCAGACTAGCCTTTAGCTCATCAGTCCCATTAAAGGTAAATGATATTACTCTGAACCAAAGACACTCACATATCTACAGCAGGTAAGATAATTATTATTAAGTGGATAATAACTTTTGCAGCTCAACAGCTTCACTTAAACCGCAGGAAAGAAGGGCATATTTCCAAAAACTGTTGCTAGCTTCAGCCCCGTTAAAAACATACAGACCAAAGCTCCCTTTGAAGTGCTGCTCTGGTAAAACTTAGCATTAGCGTTGTAGCATTGCTAACAGATTCAGAAAGCAAACTAAAACTCCCGTCAGCCATTGTTTCAAAAGTCCTTTTATTATTGATTAGCACTGTAGGCAGAGGTGGACTTGCCATTAGGGCTCTAAACACTTGAAGTGCCCCATGCTTTTGTTTGCCTTGGGCCCCTAAACTGCTACGTCCGCCACTGCAATTGGTGGGGACATAAATTGGCCACCAAAACGAACCTGTCCATGAATTCACCACTAAATGTTCGCATGTTGGAATTATTCTGTTTGAAACCCATCAACCAATCACAAGAACCCCTTCCCTCCTCCTCCTCCTCCTTCTCCTCCTCCTTCCTCCACCGTCACATCCATTCTCTCCCTACGGAAGATGCGCGTGCAGCTCGGGCGGGATGAACCGGGTTTCCCGGTGTGTTTAATGGGGACGGTCTGAGGAAGATCCAGGTCCGGCAGGCGGAGACCACCAGGAGGATCCCGCAGAGGAAGGTCTCCTGCTGCTGCCGCTGTTCCGAGCCGGAGGAGCGGAAGGTAAAGGAGGAGTAGGAGGAGGAGGAGGAGGAGGGGGAGGAGGAGTGCCATTAAAAACCTGTTGTTAGTGTTTGATGAAGATCCGCATTTACCACACAAGCAGGGATAGCATGCTGGTTCGGTTCAGATCATTGTGGTCTCAAACTTCAGATCCAAACGTCCTGTTGTGTTTTTCTTTTCTTTGATTTATCGCAAATTTGCGCAGAAAGACAAAGAGAGCGCGTTGACTTGTTAGAGGTAATTAAAGCGTTTAAAAGCATGTGTGTTTTTATTTTTCCAGACAAACCGCCTTCCATGGAAGTGGAATTAGATTTTCATATTGATCCAAGACCACAACAGAGGCTGCAGCATGTAGCAGCAGAGACGGACTGCAATTCAATTACGATGGAGCCTTTTGATTTAAGACGGGAGGGCTGAGAGCGCCGCCCCAAGTCTGGACTCGGAAACTCCGCAGGAACTGGTTCTGGTACCAGAAATCTGACGGGATTGAAATAATCCACTTTTAAGCACCTGGGGCTGATCCTCTAAATCAGTGATGTCCGATGGGTGGCTCGGGTGCCGCTTGTGGCCCTCAGAGTCATTCAGTGCGGGTCTCCTGTCCGGTCACATACGTTGTCAGATTGGCATACACTTTCATTCTTTCGTTATTTTTTTAAACACAGAAACAGTTTTGTTTACCTGTTTGTAGCTACAGTTTCGCCGACGGCTGCCGGCTTCTTCTTCAGTGTAATTAGAAAGACACAGCAAGAACACACCTAAGAAGGCATACACTTTGTTTGGAGCAACCATATGCAGTGGTGGATTTAGCAATTTGGGGTCCCAAGGCGAACACAGACATGGGGCCCCCCTTAAACTAAATTTCCGACAATCTTCAACTGGATTTGCGAAACTCTCCGCTCTTCTGACACGAGTTATTTTCACTTTTTATTAGTCCTCCTCATTTTCCTGTCTTTCTCTCCCTTTGAGCACCTTCAGTAATTGCTCTGCTTTCTTCTTCCTGTCAGTGCTCCTGTGCTTTTGCCTTTCTTTCTTTTTTCCATTTTCCATTTTGGTCTCTGTTTTCCTCCCTTTAAACATCTTCCATTGTCTTTCCTTTTCTGCTTCCTTTTGATGTTTACATAGAAAAACTACGTCACTTTCAGAAGTGAAGATAAATCTTTTTTAAAGCAAGCTGCTTCTTTCTCTTATTGGAGCCACTCCATTTCATGCTTCATGGTTTGACTACCGCTTCGAGTTTGTTACGAACGCTCGTGCCTCTCTTCTTCTTATTATGCTTTCTCTTCTTATTTGTGTCTTATGGCACTTGGCAAGCAACAATTTGGTGCACCAACTGGATTGGAGTGGAATGACTACCAATCACGTCCTGTTTGTGCATAGGCGTCTTAAAGGAATAGTCCATTTTGGCATTAACAGAGGGGTGCCAGCAGTCAGGGCTAGGGGGCCCCCCAACATAAGGGGACCCCAGGCGGCCGCCGAACTATGCCTAATGGTAAAACCGCCACTGACTGCCTGATGGGTGGTTTTTCCAGTCGGATCCTCATACATATTTTTTTAACAACTTTGAGTGCCTGAATTTGTCAATTTGATCCATTGTAAAGCTTTATTTTCCCAAGGTTTTTTGCAATTCAAAGGCGGTAAAAACAAATTTGTGATACACATTTATCAGTTAATTTTTGTGAATGGTAAAACATTATGAACACAACTGACAAACCTTTTTTTTGCTGTCTGTATGCTGAACTGATGGCTCCTCAGAACGTAGTGGCAGTTTAGATGGATGCGCATGAACTGCATGTATGCTGTTCTGATACGTATACTGCTCAGCGGCCCTCAGCCGCACCTCAAAAATACTAGAATTTCAACAATCCCTTCTAAAGTTTGCCTGATTCCAGCAAACATGACTGAAGACAGGGTGACCTAGATCCCTTTTCCTGGTGCTGATGATAAAATGAAATTCTTTTTTAAGGCAAAAACCATCAGTCAGCTATCAAATCTAAAGAACGGAAGACTATGTTTACGTCTCTCACCTACAATGTTTTAGAAATATTTTCTAAAACAAAACAAAACAAAACTGGTATTTTATTAAGTTTATTTCATGTTTTATTTAAATTTTTTGTGTGGAGAAACCAATTTTTGTTTTTTTTCTTTTAACTCATCGATTTTACCCCTCATGTACGGTTTCTTAAAGAGCAAATCGATGGTGTTGCTCAAATATTTGTTTTATGAAATAGAAGAGAAAGTGAGATCCTCTCTGCAGGGGCGCAGACAGCTGATAACACAGGGATGGTGTCTGTGTTGATGCATCCACGCAACCGCTTTGTGCTTTTGCAAGTGTGTTTGTTTCTGTAGATCCAATGATGAACAGGTGTTCCCTCTGAGGGAGTAAAAACACGACATATTGCAGAAGAGAGGGTTTATTGTGGTGTTTAGAGTTTATGCTTTTAAACACACATTTCAGCCTTTTTAACAGAATTTAGAGCGAAACGTACCAGAAGATGTATGGGTTTTTAGATTTAAAGGGACATTATGGAAGTTTGACAGCCAAAACACGTATAAAATAATAAATGTCTTCTTCATACATTCTCCTGCAATGCCCTGGTCCTGTAGAATGAGCCGTGGCATTTTTACTGTGATTGCCTGTTTTTCTGTAAAATCACAGAAAAAGAGAGCTGCTCGGGTCGAGCAGGCTGCTTCATGCGCGTTCACGCTCAGGCATAGCCCTCCAAACACTCAGCCCAAGAAAGTCTGCAGCCGCAGGCGAAACGTAGCGAAAAAACAGGTAACGAAACCGTTTCTGTGTTTTAAAAAAGAACAATAGCATGGAATTAGAAACAAGACACAGCAAGAACACACCTAAGATGTTCAACTTGGGGAACTGCTGCCATCTGCAGGCATGCCTGTGAATGTCCCTCACGAAGTTCTTCCTTTTGAAAACGAGGTCGTGTGGGCCCAAGTTTTTTTTTCCTAGATTGGCGAGGGAGGATATTCGGTTTCACCGAGCTACGTATGCACATGGCCTGAAACTCCCCCTAGTGGCTGGCTGCAGTTCACGTTTTAAGCCCCGCCCCTCCGTGAAACTAATTTGCCATTATTCTTAATATAAACGTTTATTTAGATATTAACTTTTGTTGTCTATACTTTGATGCTGGTTCTTTAGCTGTGATCATTTATTTGATGGATGATTGATTTCATCAGTGTTAATGCAGGTGGAGCCGTCAGTGTGGTCTTTGTGTAACTCATCGGTTTTGTCACAACTATTTGTAATTTGATACTTTTCATGGCTTCTTCGTTGCAACACAAGTTTACCCAAAGATGCAAAAACTTTAGAAACAACAAACTGAAGAAATTCCAGGTTCCTGGCAGGGAAAATGAAGGCAAGTGTATTGCTGCTGACTCATGCTGATAAAATCTTTAAATCATAATCTTTATGCCAAACACAATTTACTCGGGCTGCTTTTTGACGTTAAAACGTTTTACCTGGTAGAACAGCACACTTCTCAGGTGAGGAGCTGCAGGATTGGTTGTTTTTACCGAGTTTTTCCTGAAACCGACACATTGATTTAGTTTTCCAGCTTCTCCTCTCATGCTGTCTCTGCTCACTGAGCTGCACATCTCCTCCTCCTGTCAGCCTTCACTGTCACGGGTTCTCTCCTTCTGTATTCCTCTCACACAGGGTGTCTAACCCTCGCTCTTCACTCTTCAGTGAAGCTCTGACAGATGACTTTTTTTTTAATTACAATTTCATCCAGTTTCCTGTTGTTTCTCCCCTCATGTAGATTCCCTTTCATCCGAAGACCCCCTGCCTCTCCTCCGGGGTGTGTCGCCGGGATTCTCTGTAGCATGCACGCTCCCAGGAGTGTGTAGCCCGTTTTAAGGCAAGAGCAGGAACCTGCAGTACATGTTTATCAGTGAGGGTTCTTCAAGGGTGGAGATGGGCTCGGTGGGAGCAGAGCGCCGCAGGCCCACACCAGCCCAGACGCCCGAGGAGAGGGACGTGTGGAGGGATGGAGGAAGATCTGGATGGAGGGACGCAGGCAGAGAGGCCTGGAGGGAGGGCAGGGAGAGCAGCGTGGTGCAGAGCTACAGCTTCGATTCGTACCAGCTGGAGGAGGAGGAGATCAGTAAGGATGCCCCAGAGCGAGGAGTGCTGGCTCTGTCTGAACCTGGTGAGTGGCTCTGACCATCGCTGTGTGTTCTGTTCTATTTATAAAGAGACAGAAAGGGAAAAAAAGTGGTTTTAATGTGGTGATTTATCACTTTGTATGGGGGTAGAGGTGCAGGATTAAATCTGTGTGTAGTAAGAGTGTGTAAGAGTAAAACTCACAGCTGGAGGCAGAGCGGAGCTCTAAACTACAACAGTTCCAGGGTTTTTTGAAGAACTCACTGGTTATTAACGAGCAAGTCACTCCAAATCAACATTTTGTTTGCTGATTAACTATATAAATGAGTGTCTGATGGTGCTGTTGGCAAATGTAGTCAATAATATGGCATTTTAGTTCTTCTTAGTTAAAATTTAAATATTGTGCCTAAAACTGTCAGAGTTGTGCCGTTGTCAGGTAAAAACTCTGCACAGCATTTTCATTTAAATCTGCCATTGCTATTGGCTAAGAGGTACACTATGATGTTAGATGGTACATTATGATGTCTCAATGTCGTGAGTGTGTGTATTTGTTAGTGGCTCCGCCCTCTTGGTCTGCTAGGCAACAGCATTTGTTGCATTTTTCAAACAGGAAGTGGGAGTTGAGTAAGACTTTGGTAGGGGGTGACTTGCTCTTTAAGTGATCGTCCTCCTCAGTGGCTCAGCAGAATCTGCCACTGAATGGTTTTATTGTTCATTTCAATGAAAAGAGAAAACCGTGTAAGGGTGTGAAGTCCACGGCAGAAAGTTTCACAAACGTCTGAAATATTGAAGCAAACATGAGTTCAACTGAGCAAAAAAGAGAAAACATTTGTTACGTTTGAACATGGCTGCAGGGATTTTTTTAACCGGTTTCCACGACAGCAGAGCCCCAGCAGCCAATCAGAGAGAAGCGCTCCACTGTCCATCCTGATGGCGGCTCAGTGGTTAAAAGCTTGCCCTGTAATTGGTGGGTTGCCGGTTTGATCCCAGGCTCTGTCTGTGTCAGTTATTTTGTTGGGCAAGACATGTCACCCTCTTTGCCTGCTGGTGGCAGTCGGGGGGACCATTGGCCCCTGTGTATGGCAGTGTCAGTATGGCCATGCTGCTCATCACCATCAGTGTATGAATGGATGAATGATTCACTGTCATGCCACGCTATACAAATGCGGGTCATTTATCACTGAAGAGGAGATTTTCAATGTGGCAACAAATTGCCACAACATTCCCAAAGTGCTTGCAAGCACCTCACTGTTGTGTCACTTTCTACATTTTCAAGATACAATTTCCTCTCAAAATGGTCTCCAAGTAGTTTCGAGCATCTGGAACCTGTCTCAAACCTTCTTAATCTTTGACCCGATTCTCCCCTTCTGGTATCTTAAGACCGTCCTTGATTACCCAACAGATTACCATAATGAATCCAAAGATAATCTTATCAGATAATCCTGCTGTGTGTGGTGTGTTACAAGAGCTTTGGTTTTCTCGGAAGGACGTCGGGCCGCTCTGATCATAAACCTGGAATTTTCAAAATGTCAGATTGTCTCGGCCAGATTACATTAATAAATGAGAGTGCCTGTTGCATGTGATGTGAAGCCAATCAGAAAGCAAGCTGACAAAAGATCACTGTTCGCTCCTCCTCCGCTGTGCTTGTTTACTCAACAGTCGCGTTTTATCTTGAGAGGTTAAGCGAATTTTCTCCTGACCGTGGAATGTTAGTGAGTAATTTTGTCATGTGGCTGCAGACCACAGATTTTTTATCACCACGTGTGTGGTCTGCCATGTTTTAAAAATCATTCTGCCGTGTGAACCAGGCTTTAGTCAGAAAAGGGTCAGGATGGCAACCTCGTACTGATGAAAATGAGGTTGCTAAAAATGCAACATGTATTAAACCTGTTGTCCACCTGTTTTCTGTCCCAGTTCAGATTTCCCCACAACTGAGTGTCTCCAACTATTTCAGCCCAGTAAGGTTCTGGATTTAATGTAAAAACCTTCCATCATTTGTGAATAAACAATATCAACCACGTTCCCCGATAAACTGTTGCATAAAGAAATCAGTTAGGTTAGATTTGAGTGTTTAGAGATGACAGTGGAGGCGGGAGAGAATGAAAGCAGCATCAGAGATGGAGAAAACACAGCAAGTGCATGTAAATGCACGGAGGCGGTCCTGTTAACACACAATTGCTGTGTTGCCTGGTTACAAAGGTTGCACAAAGGCCACCTTAATCAGATCAGACGTGGTCAAGGACACACAGATTGGCCTCCATTTGTAGACCTTCTTCTGTTTATTCTGACCTCACATTTTTAACGTTGGCAATATTTAAGAATTCCACAGTGGAAAAAAAATCACAAAACAGTAAAGAGTCGGAAGGGAGGTTACATTGAAATGGATTTCATTCTCAGCCGCCTGAGGGGTTTGTCAGTTTTGATCCTTTCAAACAAACAAAAGCAGGACGTAGTTACTTCTAACAAAGTGATGCACATGTTCACTTGTGAGGTTGCAGTCTGCGCTGAGCTAACTCTGCAGCACCAGCATTTGTAATTTGACACTGGCAGGCAGCAAGCTCCAGGAATGTTGAAAGAACTGAGGCCAGTAAACAGGAGCGACTCAGAAGTTTTTTCTTGCACCACTTTAGAAGCCACCACGTCTTTTGTTCGACACTAATATAAGGTGGAGCAGGCTAGAGGCTAATGTTGAGCTAACAATGCTAACAGTGAATTAGCAAAATGTGGGCTCTAGTGATATCTCAAGCGCCTTTTTTATTACTAACAACTGGATATTATAGTGAAATTTATGTGACTAATGAGTCAAACGTGGTGTTTTACTTTATTTAAAGGGGCATTGTGGAAGTTTGACAGCCAAAACATGTATAGAAATAATAAATTTCTTCTTCATACATTCTCCTGCAATGCCCTGGTCCTGTAGAATGAGCCCTGGCATTTTTACTGTGATTGCCTGTTTTTCTGTAAAATCACAGAAAAAGAGAGCTGCTCGGGTCAAGCAGGCTGCTTCATGCGTGTTCACGCTCAGGCATAGCCCGTAGCATTTGCTATCAGTAGCTTTAGCAGCAGAGAGAGAGGTAGTGCCAACTCAGCGACTTTGTCGCTGTTCCTAACGCCTAGTGATGAACCTAGCTACATTTCTGAGGACCCTTAGCTACTTTCTTCTAGATATTTCCTGCAAATTAGCAACAAAATAGCCATTTTCGCTCCGAACTGTTCTTTGAACATTGTTTCAGCTGTCGTCAAGGATATAAATATTACAGATACTTAGTACATCACTGGTGCTATAGCTCAGTGGTTCCTAACCTGGGGGTCCCGACCCCCACAAGGGGGCGCCAAAGCCTCTCAGTGGGTCGCCAGGACCTCTCCACCTCAAGGGGTTCCTCTCCACTTCAAGGGGTTAAAACTTCATTTATTACTTGTTTATAGCCTACATTTTGCTCACATTTTTTTTCATGAGTGAAAAGTTTACTGATATTAAGACAGGAAATAATTAGTGCAGAAAAAGTAACACACTTTTAAGAACATTTTGCTCAGTTCACTGTTTTTTTTTCAAGTGTCAAAAGTTCATTAAAGATAGGACTGGTTGATTAATCACAGCCTTTACAGTAAATAATCTAGTATAAACAGTAATATACACATTTAAGTACATTTTGCTCAGTGTATTTTTTATGTGTCAAACGTTTATTGAAAGGAATGATTGATTTATCAGTGTTTACAAGAAACAATGTGTTCAGAAAAGTTATACAAACTGTCAAGCACATTATGCTCTGCTTGGTTTTGTTAATGACTTTGTTCTGTACTGGAGCCTACTATTACTGTTATCTATTGAATCAAAGCATATTAAAATGTGCTTGAACAATTTTATCATTTCTTAATAGTGTTTGTACTGGAAGAGAGAATGGGAGGGGGTCGTCAAAAATTTTACTGGTAAAAAACGGGGTCCCTTGGGAAAAAGGTTGGCAACCACTGCTATAGCTCACCTAGTAAGACAGTGGACTCTCATGTGGAAGACCTGAGTTCAATTCTGGATGTGAACATATATTTAGAGTTTCTTTTTTATATTAATGTTTTTTTTTTTTACAGTAAGATGCCCAAATTTTTATTTGACACTCGCCGAACGGCATTGAATTCACAGATAAAAAAGATTTGGGTTCAACTTTCATTTTGGAACAATTTTTCAAGAAAGGGAAGGGAATGATCTGAGCATGCAGGAGGACTGACCCATCATAAACCTTTGTCGGCTGTGCTGAAGAGAAAGGTACAGAACCAAATTATTTAATTAATTAGCTGCGCGTTCTCCTGTCCTCTGGGCCACACACACACACACACACACACACACACACACACACACACACACACACACACACACACACATGGGACTGTCTCAGCTGTTATTTTCAGGAGTGTGCACGTACAGCATGCGCGCCTCGTGCACGAGTCTACTATTGAAGCTGCCGTTACGCTTTTGGCCTGAGGGGGCAATCGCGAGCATAAAAATTCAAAACTCTGTAAAGTCCGTTTAAAGAGTCGATCAGAACTATATCAGCAAGACAGAAATCAACCACACTTCCTGTATGCCGGAGGCATATTACCTTAATAAGTGTAGTAAGTGCTCACTATAAAACCCCCAAGAGTGCTAACACCAGATATGACAATATATGTATCGAAATTCACGGAATGAGAAAAATCAGCTGCAGTAACTAAATTTCACCACAGGATGTCATTCTAATTTCATTCTTACATTTTGCACCTTTAAAGTTAAGATCTTGGGTTTTTATTGTGGCCTAAAAAGCAGATAAAGAGGATAAAATGAGATGTTTTACATTCTGTGCCAAAACGTGTGCAAAATAAGAACATTGCTACAGTTTCCACAGACATCAGCTCTCGCCAAATGCAGCTTATGAAAAAGCCTCGATTAAATCAAGTCAGTAATCCTAATCATCTCTCTATCGCTTCATCATTTTACACGTCTATTTTCCTTTTCTGCTGGTGTTTTGGAGGAAACGTTGACTGCAGACCTCCATCTGCACAGAGCTCATAAGCTGCTGTGAAAGCGTCACTGATATACAAATGTAAGCTCTCCGAGCTGCGCCTCGTTTCAGGAGAAATCACCTGCTTTTGAGAGTCCAAACTCTTTCCTGCATGTCCACCAGAACATCCTGATGAGTCGGAGTTTAAAGCCGCTGATCAGCTGGAGTCTTTAAACCTGATTCTGCAGCTTTCCTCCTCTCGGTCCAAAGGTGTGCATGGATGGTTCTGGCTGAGGATGTGACCTCTCCGGGGATGAAACCCCGTTTCTCGTAGCTGCTGATACTAACTGTCTTTGCAGGTTCGCACGCCGTTCCTCCGAGGTGTTTAAAGAACATGTGGTGATTGTTTCGAACATGTGCATCACTTTTGAGGCCGTTTACTGATCAGTCAATGTCAGGCCAATACAGTCGTCATCACCGCAGACGGTGAGAAGGACTTTGTTCTGCTGCAAAGTCTTCTGGCTCAGAAATCCTTTGTTGCTGTTTAAAGGAAGCTGACAGGATTAGAAATGGATTAGGAGTGATTACATAAAGAACCAGCGGATCACACTTCAGCCAAAAGGAATATGATTCCGCTGCAAAAAGCCCCAGTTCTGAGCGGTCTTCCACCAGAACCAGATGAGCACAGACCGGTGGAGGTGTGACGATCAGCTTCTCCACAGATCCACGCCGTTCTCATGTCCCAACTCCCCCATCGTCTGTCGTCCCTAACCCTAACCTTTGACTCCCTCCTTCCCTTCTCAGGTTTTGAAGAGCCGATCCCTGACGACCGTTACCATGGCATCTACTTTGCGATGCTATTGGCTGGAGTTGGTTTCCTGCTTCCCTACAACAGTTTCATCACTGATGTAGATTACCTGCATCACAAGTTCGAGGGTATAATGAATATGCTCGAGTGTTGAGACGAATACACAAATCAAACCTGTGTGTGTGTGTGTGTGTGTGTGTGTGTGTGTGTGTGTGTGTGTGTGTGTGTGTGTGTGTGTGTGTGTGTGTGTGTGTGTGTGTGTGTGCTCCCAGGAGTCACGTCTCCCTGTCGTGTGTTTCAGGAACATCTATCGTGTTTGACATGGGTCTGACATACATCTCCATCGCTCTGTTGGCCGTCATCCTCAACAACGTGTTGGTGGAGCGGCTCAGCATGCACACCAGGATTACTGTTGGTGAGAACAGACACAACTCCTCAGAGATCCTCAGGGTGCTTCTCCGTGTGGAACAACAAAGGGTCTCCTTCGTTTCTGCTTTAGTAGTAAAGCGTGCTGTCACCAATCCAGGCTGGTTTATCAGAGATATTGAAGTATTTATTCTGTTTTCATTTAAAAAACAAATGTTTTCATGTTTTTGCTGAATAAATTAATCCCAAACTCTGATTTTGGAAATAAACAAAGAATCTCATTAGTTCCTCTAGTGAAAAGGAAAATATGAGTAATTTAAAGATAAGCCTTGGAGGAGAACATTACACTCGCTCTCACTTGTTGTGTGTGTGTGTGTGTGTGTGTGTGTGTGTGTGTGTGTGTGTGTGTGTGTGTGTGTGTGTGTGTGTGTGTGTGTGTGTGTGTGTGTGTGTGTGTGTGTGTGTGTGACTGCACTGTACTCTGTAACTTAAAAAAGCTCAGCCCACATCCTTGAGGAAACGACTTTAGAGGTGTGTCGTGTTCTCCGGAGCTCCTCTCCAGAGTTATTAAATCTGTAGCTCAGGAATAGATTCTTACCTTCAGGCGAAGGTAATAATGTCTCTCAGTGGGAACATCAGAACGAGACCCAGATCTGAGATCTACCGACCGTTCTGATCGTCATTCTCTCCGCAGGTTACATCTTGGCTCTGGGGCCGCTCATTTTTGTCAGCGTGTTTGACGTCTGGCTGGAGAAGTTCACCATCCAACAGGCTTACGTCGTCAACCTTCTGTCAGTTGGAGTGGTAGCCTTCGGGTGCACAGGTAGGAGGCTTCTAACCAAGTGTTTGGTAATCCCGGTCCTAGCCAAAACCAGATTGACAACCCATCAATTCAAACCTGGTGCAAAGAGGCAGGGAGACACTTAAAACATGCATCAGGTTGTGTTCCTAGTTGGATTTAAAAAATCTCAAATGCAGACAAGTGTCTCGAGGACAGTCAGATGCGAAAATAAATGCTACTACTTAAGTGCTGGGAATGCAGGGAGTCCAGAACAACCCAATCCATCCCATAGTATGGGTTTTAGATTAGGAACAAAGAACACAATAAAGAAGAGGGACAGTAGAGAACACAGGTGCAACTGGAACCAGGTGTGTGCGGAAAGCTGAGAGAAACACAAGAAAATAAAACGAAGAACCATAAAACCAGGATAGCTCATTCCCAGACCTGTACATAAACCAGAAGCCTGTAGGGACATAATAATAATAATAATAATAATAATAATAATAATAATAATAATAATAATAATTACAATAATAATAACAACAACAAAAATAAAAATAATAATAATAGAATAATAAATAGAATAGAATAATAGAATAATAATAACAATAATAAAAATAATAAAAATAATAATAGAATAATAACAATAATAATATCAACAACAATAATAATAATAATAGTAGTAATAATAATAATAACAACAACAACAATAAAATAATAAAAAATAATAATAATAACAACAACAATAAAAATAATAAAAAATAATAATAATAACAACAACAACAATAATATAATAATAACAATGACAACAATAATAATAAAAAAATAATAATAACTCTATGGTCGACGCAAAACACGTTTATGAAGCTCCTTGTTCATAATCCCGCTCACGTAAACAATTTCAGCATTTTATTCCTGGTGATTTTTTTCAGGACCTTCCAGAAAAACCCGCTTCATGGCTCCGTCCCTTTAAGGAAACAAGATGGAGCTGGCCACGGCCACCTATCCATTTTGAGCCACGCCTGAAATGATTCATTGGAAATAATCAGAAAATTATTAGGGGTCCTTATATATGCCCGAGTCACTGACCTCACGCAAATTGTCAACAGACAGTCCACGTTTTGTTGTTGTCAGGAAGCTTCTTTGAAGTTTCTTTAATGGCCAAACTTTCAAAATTAGCAAGAAAAACTGGTCAGTCAACAAATCCGACGATTTAACGTTTTTTTTGGGACAATATTAACATATGTCAGTAATATCCACCGTGTTTTTACAAACACCGGTAGAGCTGCTGCTTATCCAGCCTGGAGAGGTGAGAGAAGCTTCTATGCAAAATGTCCCTGATTGTGACATCACAATCAGGGACATTTTGAAACAGACTGTTTGAGGAACAATTCTTGACACCAAACACTGACGGACGTTTTTTATTCACTTTTGGAGTGCTTGTTGAAGCAGTAGAGACACAGCAGCACAGAAACGTGAAAGAAGGGATTTATGCATAAAATCCACAAAAAATCTAATTGAAGACCATCCTCTCCAACGACTTCGTCTGTTCTAACTGACATCCAGTCCTGGTCCTGGAGGACAACCATCCTGTAGGTTGTTTCTTTGCTGTAACTCACCTGCTTCAGTGGTTAAGTGTCCATTTAGGTGTTAATCAGCCACTGATTCAAAAGGAGCAGACAGCAGAGAGGCATCTAAAGCACGCTGGACGTGGCCCTAGAGCGGGGGTCGGCAACCCACGGCTCTAGAGCCGCATGCGGCTCTTTAGCGCTCTCTAGTGGCTCCTTGGAGCCTTTTCAAAAATGTTTGAAAATGGAAAACGATGGCGGAAGGAAATACATTTTTTGTTTTAATATAGTTTCTGTAGGAGGACAAACATCACACAAACATTCTTAACGTTTTTCAGTGCTGTAAAAATGTGTAGAAATATATTAAATTTCAACATTTCTGTCAACGAAGATTTGCGTCATAGCCTGCGACACACGTTTCTATCAGCCGGGCGGGATGCCAGGCAGGTGGCTGTTGTAAACAAATCGGCGGCTGTGTGATGGGCTTGGATCCCAAAGGGAAAAAGAGAAAAATATCCGAGGAGAACAGAGGATTCAACGTTTCTTGGACCGAATCATTTGCATTCATTGCCAATGCGGAAGGATTGCCTGAATGTTTGCTTTGTAACGAGAAGTTGTCAGATAACAAAAAGAGTAATGTGGAAAGGCATTTCCAGGGAAGGCATGCTACATTTGCAGCCGAGTGTCCAGTTGGGAGTGAGAGAAAAAGTGCAATTGCATTACTTCTGGAGAAATTACAGGAGCGCGAAAACAGATTTAAGAATTGGATTGCATCTCCAAACTCCACTACTGCTGCAAGTTTTGTTGCAACCCGGGAGATAATAAAGCGTGGAAACCCGTTCACAGATGGTGACTACATGAAGGAGTCGTTTTTATGAATGCAGGCTGCGTTTTATTGCACTGTTTGTTGCCCCGATGAGGGGCACGTTATGCACGTTCCATTTTGTTGTTTTTTCGAATCCTAAAAATAAAAATGACATCAAAAATCGGATTTCTTTATTGCATTTCTTTAATTTCATCAAAGCAATGAAACATGATTCATTAATATTGTAATGGAGTTAAACTTGAGGCGGCATCGTACAACAGAGCAGTCACGTGGTGCGTCATCCTCTACAGGATGCGCTACAGGGAAAATTAACATTTAATCCTGAAGGCTCATATGTATTTGTAGCCAACTTAGTCATTTTGATAGTAGGCTAATATAGCATGTGTTACCTTCATTATAAGGCTTTTAATGTTTTGCGGCTCCAGACATTTTTGTTTTTTTGGTCCAATATGGCTCTTTCAACATTTTGGGTTGCCGACCCCTGCCCTAGAGGAACAGGTTTGGATGCAATAACACTTAAGACTAAACTAACAAAATAAAATTTAAGAAAAATCTAATTTGACTGCAACTATGTAAAGGTAGCGTATCAATATGTAACACTTAACAGCATAACCAGCTAACAATCAGCTGAGACACAATCTTCTTGTTTCTGACTCCGTCTTTCTTTTAGCTGTTGTTGAAGACGTGCTTCACCTGACAGGTTAAAGAACAAGCAGCAGGATTTTTGGACCTCCACAGCTAACCATGTTAGATGTTCAGTTCCCCTCTGTGAGCAGGAACACTGAGCTGTCGCTACAGTTGAGAGTCTGGAACGGCTTCTGGAGGTTCAGGAATAAATTGTGCTGCTGCAGGGGTTTGGCCTTTGTTTGCATCGATAACCTCTTCCTTCTCCCTTCTCAGTGCAGCAGTCCAGTTTCTATGGTTACATGGGGATGCTGCCCAAGAGGTACACACAAGGGGTGATGACTGGAGAAAGTAAGTACGCTCAGGGTCTGAATATTTGCATACGTGCATCTTCACTGCTACCACCCTCCTCACGGTGTTTCCTTCTCAGGCACAGCTGGGGTGATCATCTCTCTCTCTCGCATCTTCACCAAACTGCTCATCCCTGACGAGAAGAAGAACACACTCATCTTCTTCCTGGTCTCCATCAGCATGGAGATGATGTGTTTTCTGCTTCACCTGGTTGTCCGCCGCTCTCGGTTTGTCCGCTATTACACCAGCCACTCCCAGGGCAAAGGTCCGGCCAAATGTCACGATCCGCGGGACAACGGTACCGGATACAGGGTCCACCATGACGTCACTGCAGAGGAAGTGAGATTTGTACGTGACACATTCTTCTCTCTGGCGTGTTTGAGGCTGTGTATTCTTCATATAAAGACAAGTCTCGTCACTTTCAGTGGGGATTTTGTGAGTCTGATGGTTAGGGTTAGTGTTAGTGCTCCGGCGGGTGGTGATACTGGTCTGGGTTGGTTAGTAGGTCTCAATGCCGGTTATGTGCCTCCTCCCTGGTGAACCTGATGTTCTAGTCCACAGAGATGATGTGTTTTCTACTTGATCGGGAAGTATTTTAGTGCACGTGTCATCAACATCACTGAACCTGCGGCTTGGTGGTGTTTGCTTGTAGGAATCCAATTCACCGTCTTCCACTTCCTCCATGCAGATGTTGGAAACGATGGGTGATACCAGAGAAGCAAAGGTGCATCCAGGTTTCTGCCAGTTAAACTCGTACTTGACATAGATGTCTAAAGAGCCAGGATGTTTCAGATCTGATCTAGAGTCAGCTTTGTCCAGTTGACTCAGCCGTTCTGCTGCTGCAGCTGTAGGAACATACGTACAAAAAGATGCCCCCAAAAGAGACGATGGTTTCTGCTGGGACCATCGACATATAAATATTGGACAATGGGTTTCCATAGACTCCAATAACACGTTTTTGAGGCTAAATGGGAGGTGGCCACCACCGCCATTTTGACCGTGTCACAGGTTCCGTCAAGCCCAGACAATTCCACAAAAGGGAAGAGAGGTGGAGCTGAGGGTGGGGCTGTAAGGCTGGGATCAACTGACGACACCCGATCGAACTAGCTACAAGCTAACCTGAAGCTAACCCAAAGCTAATGCGGAGGTGGGAGCTAAGCTAACGGAGGTAGCAACCTAGCTACAACCGGAGTTAACTGTGCGCAACACCAGAGCTTCTGAGTCAGAGATACGCCGGGCTGACCGCTGGGTAAAACCAGGTGGAAAACATCAGTCTCCCGAGACCTCCACAAGCCGATAGTAGGAACCCAGCTCCACCAACATGTTATATTTCAACCCATTTTCTTAAGTGCAGCATTATGTTAAATACACTGGGTTTTACCTTATTACATTTAAATTTCATGGTTAAACAGTACATGTTAAAATCTAAGCTTAGCTCGGCAGTGACCTAAAATACATAAATATAATTTTACTTACCGAAAAAAATGAAGTGGAGACTCCTTGGACGCTTTATTAGTGCAATTAATGCCACAGCAAGTCATTTTGTCCAACAATTGCACAAATAATATCCCAAAAAGAATACACAAACGCTACAACTAATGGTCTAAGTTGAGAGACTGAAAATGACGGAACAGTTTTCAGGAGAGGCCGAGGCTCAGACTGAGGCCTTTCCACGGAGCTAGCTATGCGGTCACGTGGGTCGGATGCTCATTAATTATACAGAATTTTAGGCTTTTAATACACTTAAACAGAAGAGTGAGAAAAAAATCACCCCCTCAGAGTTGTCATGAGTGTAAACTAGATCATTTAAACCAAAAACATGTTTTGGTACCAGGCTGTAAACATGTTTATTTCTGCTGTGAAATTGGTATTTTTAACATGGGAGTCAATGAGGATTTGCTCGCTTCTGACACCAGCCCCTAGTGGATGAGGGTGGAACTGCAATTTATTTCATTTCCGGGTTTGCCTTAATTTTTCACCCGCATTGTAGGGGCTTGGCTGGGACCAGCTGTTGGTTTAGAATTTTTTTTAAATAAAATCCACCTCATTTTGTTTCTGACGGTAACTTTTTCCAACCAGACATGCGAGTATGGTGGATAGGTGTTTAACGTTGTAAGTGGTTGAGTGGAGGCTGCTGATAATGGGTCTGAGTGTAAAGTAAAACGAGCGGTCAATTGCTTTTTCATTTACCAGCTTCTGTAGCAAGTTGGTGATTTTCTTCTTGTAACTGTGCATCATCTTTGTCTGCTGGAGGATTTATGATGTTCTGGTCTCTGCTGAGGGCGGACGCTGCCTTTCTTTCCCGTAGGAACGTGTCGAATGGAGGAGTCGGAGCATTAGAGAGTTATCTTCAGCTTCTGCTTCCCCTTGTTGTTGCTCCTCATAGCACGTTCTGTGGCAATGATGAGATCTACTTTGTTGTTTTGCTGATGTGAAACACTAAAGTCTGATGAAAAAAAGTCTAAATTAAGAAATCTGTCATTTAATCATTGTTCTTTGTAATTAAACAACATCATGGGGTAAAGTAGCCCAAACCATAACAGCACCACGACTGTGCTTCACTGTTGAGGAAGCTGTTTTTTGTCAGTACTAGCCTAGTCCCTTCTTTACCCAAGGGGTGTCCAACCCTAGTCCTCCGGATCCTCTATCCAGCAGGTTTTAGTCGTTACTGTTCTCCAACACATCTGATTTTGATCAGTAGGTGATTAACAGGCTTCTGCAGAACTTGATTAAATTCTGAACCAGTAATAAAACCATTAAATCAGGTATGCTGGAGCAGGATAGCAACTAAAACATGCTGGATAGCAGCCCTCGCAGACTAGGGTTGGACGTCATAGCTTTACCCAGTTTTGCAGAAACATGGTCAGGCCAGGGCCGGGATGCCGTCTTGGTGAATCAGATCAGTCACTGTGAATGTACCTTGCTTACAGGAGACGTATTATGACTTTTTATCTTAAGTTATAATAAATTTCTGTTCAAAACAAAAAAATGCTAATTTCAGCAGTTTCAGTACCTTCCAGAATGAGTCGTTTCAGGGCTCTGTCACATTAACTCATTCACTGCTATTGACGACTAAATTTGTCGTTTGCATTTTGTTACTGGGCGGGCGTCGGAACGAGCCCCCGCACCGTGAGAACAAACATCCCAGCTCTAAAACCAATCTTCATCCACATACGTCCGCGTGTATCAGGAAGCAGAAAATCCATGTGTTAGGTCGTTTTGGGCTGCTACTGTAAAAAAAAAGTGAGGTGCCAACTGGAAAAGCTTCCGCTGATCACAATTCGACAACGGATTATGAAAGAAAGTATAACGCTCGAAACACGCAGATTCTTCCTAATGTAAGAAGTAAGTCTACTCTTTGTTTTGGTAGTTTTGGCAATGTTCTGTGACTCTTCCAGAAATCTGTGAAAACGCTGAAAAATGCTGGCAGCGAAGGGCTTTTCTGATCAGGAAAGGTCTGGCAGTTAATGAGTTGAGGGAAACAAGCGGTTTTTGGCCACCCCCACCACCCTTGATTGGCTGCTATAAGCTAAGAAGCTCTGATATCTGGGAGGGGCTTGGAGTAGAGCCACTGCTCCTCCAGCCTGGAGAGGTAAGGGGGGGTTACATACTAATTTCCCTGTTTGCGACATCACAAACGGCAGCTGGCTTTAGCACTGTCCTGTGGGGAAATCATGAGATTTATGCAGGCGTAACCCTGCGTTGTCATTAAAACATTTCTACAACTACATTTGCATAAAGTGTTGTGGAACGCTTCAAATTGGAGTTATGTCATTAGCACATCAATCTGAATTAATCTGTATTTCTCTACATCTAGGTTGTTCAGCGAGCTACCTACAACACGTATAGTTAGTTGTTGAGAACACAGATCACTGGCCCTAAAGAGTTGACTTGTCTCCTGACAGCTGTGAAAATACAAAAGTCACGTTGATGACATCATGAGGTGTGGCAGACTGCCAGGAAGAGGAGTAGCTTTAAAAAACTAAACAGTGGTGAGTGAGAAGACAAGGCGTTGCTAAGAGAGGGAAATATGATTGAATGAGTTTATCTGTCCTAACGACTTGGAGCTACTCTCCTCTTGCAGATGCCTCACCTCAGGCTGTCACCCATTAATGTGTTCATGTTTATGCTTGAACACCGCTAAGCAGAAGACAAGCAGGTGATGGACGGCTCCGGGTGTTGTACTGCATGTGGCTGCGGTTTGTTTTCGCGTCCTGGGGCTGAGGATGGCAGCTCTTTGTTCTGGTTGCCAGGGGAAACGATGGTCTGTGTTATGGAATAATCATGAGCAGTGGTGCCTCCTGGCCCGAGGATCCCTTTAATCAGCTAATGGATCAGAGCATGTGTGTGTGTGTGTGTGTGTGTGTGTGTGTAACTAATCAGCAGTCTACCTGGTGTTTCTTACATCAATGTGTCATCCACAGCCATCCCCTCTAACAGTCTCTGCTATTAAACGATGATGTCATCATCTGTCCAGGAAGCCATTACTAATTAAAAAAGACCATCTCTGATGGCGGCTGTGGATATTTTTATTTTTTTGTGCTAGAGCTACCTCTAGTGTTTACTTACAGATGTAAGCAACAGGCTAGAGAGGATTTCTACCTTCCGCTGAGTTAGGGGAGGTTATTTTTGTTTTCATCAGGGAAATGGCGGAACAGGACCGTCCTCTACAGATGAGAGCCTGGAGGACTTGGCAGGCGGTACCTATGTGCTGTTTGATGCTCCCAAAGCCAAGATAAGGAGAAGCTGGCCTGGTGTTCGAGGTACTTGCTGCTTAGCCACAGTGAAGCCTCCTCTGGGGGAACCTACCTGCACAGATTATTTTAAAATATTGCTGTGTGTGTGTGTGTGTGTGTGTGTGTGTGTGTGTGTGTGTGTGTGTGTGTGTGTGTGTGTGTGTGTGTGTGTGTGTGTGTGTGTGTGTGTGTGTGTTTTCCTGTGAACAGACATGATCCTGCACCGTTACGTGGTGTCCCGTGTGATCTGGGCCTACATGCTGTCCATAGCCGTGACCTACAGCATCACTCTGTGCTTGTTCCCGGGGCTGGAGTCAGAGATACGCAATCCAACGTTAGGGGAGTGGCTCCCCATCCTCATCATGGCCACCTTTAACATGTCAGACTTTGTTGGCAAGGTCAGCTGAGATGTTGTTGTTTAGACCTAAACAGCTTCTCCACACAACGATTAAAAGTTCTACTTCTCCTCAGATCCTGGCAGCGCTGCCGTACGACTGGTCCGGAGGCCGCCTGCTCTTCTTCTCCTGCCTAAGGGTGGTCTTCATCCCGCTCTTTGTCATGTGCGTGTACCCAGCCAATGCGCCCACGCTCCCCCACCCTGCCTGGCCGTGTCTCTTCTCCCTCCTCATGGGAGTCACCAACGGTTACTTTGGGTCGGTGCCGATGATCCAGGCTGTTGGCAAAGTGCCGCCGGAGCAGAGGGAGCTGGCAGGTGAGACGGTTAAAGCAGGTGCCTTGGCAACAAAAATGTTATTGTCACATAAGGCCTGGCTCACATGTGCATATTCTGCGAGTAATTTAGATCAGGGATTCCAAACTTTTCGAGACACGGTCCAAAATCACCAAGTTAGGAAACCTTCGGTCCACGAAAATGTGATTTTTTTAAAAATAAAAAGATATAACGTATTTTCCGGACTATAAGTCGCACTTTTTTCATAGTCTGGCTGGTCCTGCGACCCATATACAAAAGTGACTTATTTACCAAATTATACCGTGCTGCTACGGGCTGGCTCCGACCCAGGAATGAGCTCCCCTGCCCCACCATCACCTGCTGGAGACCGTCCGTGGTGCGCTGCTGCAGGCCGGCTCCGGCCCAGGAATGAGCTACCCCCGCCTGCTGGGAGGGTTTCAAACACCGCCATCCTCTACTGGAGACCGTGGCGCGCTGCTGCACCCTGGATCAGCATACCGCTGATGCAACAGCTGGTTGTTTATTCTGTTATTGTTGCCGGTACTTGTCTTGCAATGTGAAGTGCTTGGTCTCAGATTTTGTAAGAAAAATAACAAAATTCCCCCCCAAAATGCGACTCATAACTCTTATATTGTTTTTTTCTTCTTCATTACACATTTTATGGCTGGTGCGACTTATACTCCGGAAAATACGGTAAAAATCATTTTATGATAAACATTTTTATTTGTATTTCTCTAAGCAGGCCTCGTGTTAGTAAAACCTGAACATCTAAATTATCCAAGACAACTTTCCACCATCACAGAAACTCATTAGGAGGCCGCCCACAGATGGCCCCCGGGCCACACTTTGGACACACCTGCTTTAGAGGTATAGACATTTCTAAAGGACATTATTGAGAGTATTTGTTATTGTTTTAGATTGCTGCAAGGATAGGCATACATTTGCTTAAAGGACATTTATGTGTCTTAAATGCTTTTCATCGACTGAAAGCCCAACTTTTTTAATATTCTAGTCATATAATTTGATTCTGTGCAGGTTTTGTCTGTGGAGTTTTTCCTCTATTTGCATCCCTCTGGTTTAGAATTCTTCACCAGTAAGAATAGGTATTCACATCTCTGGTTCAGATCCAGATGCAACTATGTGCTAAAAGATGTGATTCAAATTTAAGTATTAAAGACCAAGTTCACTGAGAATCTATTTCATGATCAGTCACTCTGAGCTCCACAAATGGGCTAAACGAGAAAATGGTCTCCTGCATTAGCCGCCGATAGAGAATATACGAGGAAACTCTCAGGTCTGAAAAAGTCTCAGATCTACATCACTGTAACGCAGCTTTCATGGACTCATCCATTTTGGGAAGGTTGTTGTTGGTTTAGCATCCAGGAGAGAGCAGAGCACGTCCCGGCTAGAAGAAGCTAACTGTTAGCATTAGCAACTCCACCACATGACAGAACTCCTTCAGGCTTCAGTTATTTTTGGAGATAAAGCAAAGGGAACAGATTCAGTAGTAGAGTTGTAATGTTGTTATCCAATCAGAGGCATGACATCTGTATATCATTAAAGTAATGGGTAAGACTCCAAATCCTGCCATCTTTGTTGCCCCCCCCCCCCCCCCCCCCCCCCCCCCGGCTAAAAAGGCGAGGGAACTACGTAAATTTGTTCAAGGGCCGGGTTTTTTCCAGCAGACACCGTGAGGGCCAGATGCTGTTCTAAAATAAAGTTCAAGCATAGATGTATCTAAATTTATTAATATTTGAAATGGCGTTGTTCACCATCTAAACTGTTTTGATTTTAGGTTCAGTTGTGTTTGGAAACAGTTATTGATATTTGGGACATGAATTTTGCTGCTAAACTTCAAAATCCTCCAGTTGGGGGGCGTTAGGGCCCAAAGGGTTTGGGGACCGGGCAGAAAGGCCTGACGGGCCGAATCTGGCCCGTGGGCCACTAGTTGAGGTTCACTGGTTTATACTATCGACTACAGCAGATTTTTTGAAAATCAAGTGAATGTACGCTTTTATGAGATACCAGGTAGTTTTGGCTTGCTTGTAGCACCCCCTGGTGTCCTTTAAGTAAAACCAAAAGTGAAACTTTCGACACCTTAAAGTGACGGTGTGTAATTTCCCTGGCGATAGGAGGCAGTGCATACCTAAATCACTGCAAGCAAGCAGTATTTTTGTGTTTGAGTAAGACCTTACCAATGGATGGCCATTAGGATCAAAAATCCCTGGGAGTGCAACCTTCAGCAAAATGACAAACACATCAGACTCCCTTTCATCACTGCAAACATGTGAAGAGTTAAATGTGTAGAACAACAATATTTATGAACAGTAAAAGTTTTGAAAGTGCTTGTTACAAATCAGTAAATGTGTTTTGTCCTCACGGGCTCCCGTAGAAGTAAACATGGCCTCTAATAGGACGTCACTCAGAGACTCAGAGCCACTCCGTTGTATTTTAGACCTGATTTTTATGGTTACATGTTGAGAAGCTGCTAATATTTTTCAACAACTGGATATTATTTAATTTATTTTCAACAACTTTTTAATGAACATCTTCAGAGATTAACAGTAAAAACCACACATTCTCTCTTTAATCTAACAGCTAAAATGTCTCCCCAGCTTTCATTAGTTTCTACAGGAGCGGTTCATCACTAAATCAAACTAATCAGCTGTGTTTATGATGTAAAACATGCAGGAAACATGCCAGAAGCAGACTGCAGCGCTGGGCATGTCGGCTCCACTTTGCTAAGTCTAACAGGGACTGGACCGGTGTTCCGGCTATCCGTGCTACTCGTAGATATGTGCTACTTTGGGGAAATGCACAGACCGATTACGTCACAGGCTGTTTACCTGAGGAGTTGTTATATTACTGCTTGTTGTAAGTTTTCCTAACAGTTAGCTTGTAAATGGCTTGTGTAAAGGATGGGTCGTTTACATCTTACTTATGAACCATAAAATGTGAGATTCCATAGGAATATGAAATATCAATCTGATGGATCTTTGAATATTTTAACCAGAAGATCAGAACTTTTTATTGCAGGGATTAAGCGACACTTCGTATTAACTCCAAGGAAAGAGAGAGTCGGGTTTATAATAGTTAAGAAATTTATTTCTACACAATTTAAACAAGACTAACTTTAACACTCTGTGTACTGATGGACTAGGTGGAATGAGATGTGAGAGGATGGTGTATGTGTGGAATGTGGTTATCAGAACCTTAGGATCCGGAGAAGCGGTTAGTTCTGAGTGGGAGTGAATGTTTCGCTCTAAACTTTAGTAGGAGATTTATAACACACATGAAACGCCATCTGTCGGTCTACGTAGCCCAGGGGAAGCCTCCATTAGATCCAGAATGCCGAGGTCCTCTTGGACCCTCCTTGGTACCGAAGCCGGTAGAAAAGCAGCGGTGCTGACCAAACTAGTCTTGGAATGCTTCCAGGTCACGACAGGTTATCACTGGCATCTCCGAGACCCTGAAGGGGTCGTGAGGTTCAGCTTTTATTCTGAAGGAACCGTTGCGGTCAGGTGTAACTTGCAACAGATTTTATCCAGCTTGTCGAGGTTCTTTTTGGCTGAAGAGGAAGTCCGGATGGCCTGTCCGAGACTTCTCTAGAACACTTGAACTAAAGAAAAGGTTGTGTGGAATAGTTTTTATAATTGTCATATTTTGGTTTACTGGTGAATCAGAATTTGACATGTAAAAGAGGCTTTATACAAACACCACAGATAACCACGCTTAGCCAGAAACGAAGGTTCTGATTGGATCAGACAAAAGGAAATGTGTCGTGTGGCTTTAGCATTACGTGTCATCAGTGTCTAGTGCAAATGTCCAGGATTATAATAACTTGTAAAATACTACTGATCACAGGATTATAATATCAAGTACTAACATTGTCATTTCACAGATTGAACATTGGGCTCACATTATTATTGGTAATAACAAAGTTGTTGATTATGTATTTATCAAAAGAGTTCTTTGTCTTCATCTTGGTAACAAAGGTGAAGCAGTTCAGATGAGCAGAGTGCATGAAAGACCTTGGCCACTATCTCGTGTAGATTAGCCTGTCAGAGACTTTATGTCTCTGCTCGAGCAGATGCAGCAGATCATGACCTTTAGGTCAAAAACAGGACATTCATGACGCTACACTTGTAAAATATTATTATACTGTAAACAAGAAGTTTCTCCCATTGTTTACGGTCATTCACAAAATCATGACAAACACGTCTTTTTCATAAATAAATCACAACAAACACTGTATATTTTTGCTAATAATTATACTACAGTTCTGTATTTTTGAGTAATATCATCTATTTAAAATAAACTGAGCTTAATAAGCGTGTTACTACTATACTGTAAACAAGAGTGAAACTGTCGTAATACGCTGCAGTAGGAATATTTGATGCGGAAGCACGGATAGGCAGAACACCGGCACTTTGAAGTTGTAAGTGCGGTATTCTGGCCACAGGGGGTGGTGGGTCCTGAGTGACACTTCTGGGTTGCCCACTGGATTCTGTTAAGGAGATGTGTGAAAGGAGGATGCTAGGGAAGATTATCTCCATCTTAAAAAACCCTCCCACCCACTTCACTTTGGAGACCATGGACAGCTCCTTCAGAGGCAGACTGAGACATCCCAGATATAAAACAGAATGCTGCCGTAGGTCATTCATCCCCTCTGCAGTGGGTGTCTAACTCCACAGTTTAACTGGTACTGGCATTATCCTGTTGCACAATAACATCAATGCAATACTCAGTATGGGTTCAATACTTGTGCAACTTTGGATTTACATAGTATGTCTGTTTCTCAGCATTTCTACTTGGAAAACAAAGCGAGCAAAAATGTTTCTTCTGGTTTATTTTCTTCGTTCTGAGTGGCCCTATTATACCAGAGGGCCTTGAACCACCTGCGTTTGAAGAAATGCAGGTTGGTTCTGACTAGCTTGCATGCTTTCAGGTCTAATTTTTTTTACTTAAAGTCTCTCTCCTAGGAGGATGTTTTCTAAGGTTCATCCTGGAATTGCTGGTTTCGTCTCGTCTCTGTCGGCTCCACAAAGACTGACTGCTCTGTCTCTCTCCAGGGAACACCATGACGGTCTCCTACATGACGGGTTTGATGATCGGCTCCACGGTGGCGTACGCAGCCTACAGCTTCACCGCTCCAGGAGCAAGAGGAAGCCTCCCGAAGTTCAACCAACTTTCCAACGCTACAGGGTACTGAGTGTTCACACAGTCCAAAACAAAAACAACAGAAATGCAAGTGGACGGATAAACAATAGGAATTAATGCTGGGGGAGAGAAAATATAAACTTCTCTACATTTTTCAGCCTCATGAGGAGGTGATTTTCTTTTATTTTTAATATTCTGAGATACATTTTCACGGAAGTGCAGAGTAGCAGCCTGTTTCTGCCAGCAGGATCAGCCTGACATTTAGCCTTTGAGAATCACAGAGTGAGAATTACTGCCTGCGTGAGCGAGAACAGATTGTGTGACATTTGTAAAGGTGTAAAGTCAAGTCAGATTTCACCACAAGGAGCAAAACAGGCGGTGTGTTAAAGTCACACATGTTTTATGATGTCCAAGAGCTCGTCGGGTGGAAAGGTGAGATGCAGTCATTCAGATGAAGATCTTCATCTTTATTTATTCACTGTGATTTTATTCGCTTGACGTTAAACTTATATGTAAATAAACTACTGCTTTCATTCTAGACAAAGCATGTGGGGTTATCAGACAGTTCCATGCAAGGGTTATGTATTTGCTGTAGACACTCACCTTAGCTAAAGGTAAATTCAGGTCCTTGATGCCTGTTGTTCAGATTTTTTTAAGTTGATTGCGATAAAAACAGATTAATGATTATTTAGCTTTATGACAAAATTTGGAAGAAAAAAATCGGTGATGAGGCACTCCGAAAGTAATTTATTAAGGTATGAGCCAACGCGTTTGGGTCGCGTGCGACCTCCTTCAGGGCATAGTCAAGAATGAGTTAACGAGGACACTGTCCTTCCTCTGTTAAAGAAAAGGTTAAATGGAGCTACCTCACGTGACTGCATCAAGGCAAGGTTCCTTCACATTGAGAAACACCCCTAGTCTGCACTAACAGCTATTAACAAGCTAATAGCTAGTCTGTGCTAACAGCTATTAACAAGCTAATGGCTAGTCTGTGCAAACGGCTAGCAACAAGCTAATAGCTAGTCTGTGCCAACAGCTAGTAACAAGCTAACAACTAATCTGTGCTAACAGCTAATTAGTAACTAAGTCTCTGGGCTAATTACAAGTCAGAGCTAACTGTTAGAGCTAGCACCTAGCTAGGGCTAACAGCTAGTCTCAAAAAAGACTATAGTGAACTGCTGTCACCATAAAACAACTTCCTTCTAAACAGTTTCTCATCAAACATGATATCACAAGCTATTTTATCAGCACCAGTTCTACATTACACTGGTATTTATATTTGCAGCTACAGCCCTTCCTGTGCACCCAAGGGAACTTCCTATTATAATGTTTTCAGCTGTGGTAAACATAGACATGAATAGTTGATACACCATTGGGTGCTGGAGAGCGCTGCAGCATCGTCGCCATGTTGGGTGGGTTCCTTACTCTCCAAACCCAACTGGGGTCAATGCAGAGTGAGCAACTGTGCTTGTTTTTGTGCAGCCTACGGTTGTGACAACTGGTGCATTATTAAAAACAGATCATGGTTTTTCTAGCCTACCTGTTGAGATTTTATATATTTATTTATTTTATTATATTTTATTAGCATGTCCTACCCTGTGTTTGATTTTGTGAAATCAGAAAAGTGAAAACGCCTTCCTCAGTAGAAATTAATGCACTGGGGGCGAATGCAGACCCAATCAAGATGGCAGCCCGCTGCTATGCTAGCTCCAATAGTCCACGTCGCATATCCAATGTTTGAATGACATGAGATCTGAGTTGTTTTAAGGTGACAAAAATCCACTTTAGTTTGAAGAAATCTAGCGTGGGTAGGATATCTCAAAAGATCTGAACTATCCCTTTACCACAACGTGCCAAATCAGAAATGATTTCACATATTTATTTAGTTTACAAGAGTGGTAATCAAAAGGGAAATATAGCAAATTAGTAAATATTTTTACACTTTTTTTAAGTAAAGTATTTTTAAAAAATCTGTCCAAATTGATCCCTGCTGCTTATTTGTTGTCGTACCTCAATAAGATGAGTCAAAAGATTTAAAGTTGATGAAACAAACTGACATGAAAGCAGAAAATTGTCAAATGTTTTTGTATGTTTTAAAACGTCTTGTACCACGTGGTGGCAAAAAAAAAATGTGTAAAATGTTTTAAATGTGTGGAGAGTAGCATGCAAAAGTTTGAATTTGCCGGTCGATCTGTTACTATAAATAACTGAGTAAAGGACGAAATATTTTAAAAACTAACAAAAATGGAAAAAAATGTTTCAGACAAGATTTAAACAACACAGAGAATACAAAGTTTTACCTCTAAAGTGATATGGTGGGCTTTTTTTATGTCTGTCTCTGAGTAAAAATCATAAATAATTGTTATTTTGTCTGTTTATAGCTTCCTGAACAGCCTTTGTTTGAAGAAACAGATTTTATGTCCTACATGACTGATGAACTGCAGCCAGAACCGAAGTGTGCTGTTATTGCCGTCTCAAACTGGGTCAAGTCCCCTTAGTTTCATAGAGATTCATGCAAACAATATTTTATAAACCTTTTGACTGTTTGTTTTAATGAAATTTGGACGTAAAGCAACCAGCGGCAGCTAAATATAGCACCTCTGAAGCATCCATGGATTAGGTCTCTCAACATTTTTGCTGGCAACACTGTGTAATGTGGATTTATTGGCATTAAAAAGGCTGTGAAATCTAGGAGACTGGAGCTGTTGGCAGCAACTAGCTGTTAGCTCATCAGTCCTATAGGGTGTAAGTTAAAGAGAAGCTGCTTAGCAGGGGTTTAAATGATAAAATTGGCCTTTTAACTATTGTGTAATTTAACAATGTTGTTACCAAACAATGTAACCACTCGATTTTCCTATGTTAACACATTGCCCTAAGAAAGTTAACTAACTAATGAGGAACTAGCTCCCTTATGCTAACATGTGCTAGCAATGATAACATTGTGCTACAGCTAATCATGATGTGAAACACCAACTGGCTGTTTGGTTATGGTAACAGACTAAAGCCTAATTTATGCTTCTCCGTCACGCCCACGCATTGACTGACGGTTTCCCTTCAGACAATTCCCCTCCAGGACAACAGAGGGCGTCATGTCCTTCAGTGGCGTTTTTGTGTATTTGTATTTACTGTATATTGTGTTTATGTATTTCAGACTTTTTAACACGGACAAATTTGTACCACATTCTCCTTCACTTCTTCACGCAGTCGCCACCTCTAAACCCACATTTCCCGTCATTTCCTTCAACTGATAAAAAGTTTGTTGCGTATCTCTGCTCTGCTTCAGTCACAGGTGTAAAAGCGTTCATGTAGAGTAGACTTTTTCCATGAGACGTTCTCCGATCTGTTCCATGTCTGCTGCTAGACATCTTCTGTACTGTTCTACATATTTATTTATTTTGGGGAATGGATGGTGCTTTTGATGAATTGAAAGTTAGTGGCTTGGTGACCAATCGCAGGCTTGCGGTCTCCGTCGCTTTCAGTGGACAGCTAAAGATTTGTGTGCATGTCTCCGTCTCCCTCTGTGGAGCTGCCACAGAGTCCTTGTGTCGAGACATCATGGCGTTGCTTCTCTTTGTTGCCGAGCTGACTGAGAAGTATAAAACTGGCTTAAAGCTAAAAATTAGCCATCCTTAAACACATTTTTAGCAATATTTACTTTCATTGTATAAATACACACTGAAGTGATCAGGCTCAGAGTGTGTCGCATCTAAAACGGTCCGGGCGGAAACATGTTCTCTGATCTCAATCTTTCTACTAGAGAAACGTTTTTATGATCTCTGCTTTGGCAGATCCTCAAAACGTTTAAATCCTCCATACATAACGCCATTTCCTTCACTTCTACGGCAAAATAAAACAAGTGCGTCTTTATTAGGATGCCTTTGAGACTTTTCCCACTTAGGTATTTAGAGTAACACAACAGTGTTGTCTGTCTGAAATGTACCTGTGGTTATTATCGGTGTAGCTCAAGAAAAAAAAAAGAACAATCAGTGCCAAAAAATGAATGTAGAGACATGAATTCAGAGTAAAGTGCACTCAATGCAGAAACAACCCTTTATTGTCCCTAATTTGTGACATATTTGTGTGTGTGTGTATCTTTATTTGCCATTTCTTTTATTCCTGTTTGGCTCCACACAAGGATGAAAATGTAGGTAATGTTGCCGCCTGTGTGAATAACTCATCCCGGAGCTAGCCTAGTTGATGCACGCAGGTCTCCCCAGGGATACTCACTGGATCTAAAGGTGTTCTAGTTATTTTTGGTGAGATGTGCCATTAAGAACATGGAAAGGCACTTCACTCTCTGGGGGAAAAAAAGAGATTCCTTTCATGGACATGAATTGTTCACAGGAATTTAAGATGAAGGATCAGATCCAGGAGCAGTTTGAGGACTGATTTTTCTGTTGATTGCGGTTTTTAAATGTCCCGTTGCTGAAATCTTAATGGTGGGTTTAAGAATAACATTTAACAATTGCAAATCTACAGGGATGAAGCACTGCACATAACAAACTACACCAGAAGGATAATATACTTTATAACATCCTAGAGGTCTTCGTATCCATCAGCTCATCATTTAACGTTCTGCTCATAAATTAAACAGTCGTCTGCAAATGTGCTGATGTTCTCACCTGGAACAGCAGAAAGAAGCGGATCGCTGAAGGCTGGTGTAAGAAGAGTTCAGCCATTCTGTAAATAAATACTGCATAAAGATCAGCTGGAACGTGTTTAATGGAGATTTTTGTGAGGGACAAAGAGGATTCTCCTAAAAACCAAACAGAACCAGGAACTACTTTTGGTCTTTTGGTTGATGCATGAGGTCTGAGTGTCACACCAACTAAAAGATTCAATAATGTAACGATCTCATTTGTTTCTCAAATTATTTTAATCTAATTTGTTTGAATTTAGAGGTGGAAAAGAAACTCAGGTGAATCAGAAGTGACCAAGGTTGACATTATTCAGAATATATATAAATATATGTGACCTACAGTATGTAATCCACAATGTGCACATTTATGTGTGAAGAAAAAAAAAAAAAGCTAAAAACTTTTTTTTCTGACCTGTTTTATGCCAAAAAGAATTTGGGTGTTCAGGCTCAACATTCAACACTGTATCATCAGCAAAATGTAATAAACAGCTGTTTACATCTGTTTTGTTGTTTCTGTTTAAAGTGTTTTTGTTCTTTTAGCTGCTGGGTTGAAGGAAAAGATTTATTTACACTTCAGCGCCCTCGATTCTGTTAAAGTAGTAGTAGTAATAGAAGTAGCAGCAGTAGCAGCAGCAGCTGTCGTAGTAGTAATAGTAGCAGGCGTAGTAGTAGTAATAGTAGTAGTAGTAGTAGTAGTAGTAGTAGTAGCAGCAGCAGCAGCTGTCGTAGTAGTAGTAGTAGTAGTAGTAGTAGTAGTAGTTGTTGTAGTAGTAGCAGTAGCAGTAGTAGCATGTTTATGTATTTAGCAGACGCTTTTGTCCAAAGCGACTTACAAGTGATAATCGGCATGTTGCCCTTGAGGCTAACAACAACAACAACAACAACTTGACATCAATCATGGAGAGGCAGGAACAAGGAGTGGACAGTAGAGAGGGGAGACGGGTGCAAGGAGGGTGCTAGTGTAGAAGATGCTCTCTGAAGAGCAGGGTCTTCCGGAGTTTCTTGAAAATTGAAAAGGAAGCCGCAGTTCTGGTAGTGCTTGGTAGGTCATTCCACATTTGTGGAACGATGCATGAGAAGATTCTGGATTGTCCTGAGCGTGGTGTAGGCACTGCTAGCCGACGATCTTGTGATGACTGGAGCGGCCGGGCCGAGACGTAAGCCTTTGCAAGAGGATTCAGGTAGATGGGAGCCGTACCATCTCGGACTTTGTATGCTAGTGTTAGCAATTTGAATTTGATGCGTGCTGCTAGCAGTAGCCAGTGGAGCTCAATGAACAGAGGGGTGACGTGTGCTCTTTTTGGCTGATTGAAGACCAGACGCGCTGCTGCGTTCTGGACCATTTGAAGAGGTCTCACAGTACAGGCTGGAAGACCAGTTAGAAGAGCATTGCAGTAATCAAGGTGGAAGATGACAGTAGATTGCACCAGGAGCTGGGTGGCATGTTGTGTTAGGTATGATCTGATCTTTCGTATGTTATACAGCGCAAAGCGGCATGAACGAGCAACAGAGGCAACATGATCTTTAAAGGTCAGGTGTTCATCAATCACAACACCCAGATTTCAAACTGCCTTTGAAGGAGCCAGAGATAGGAAGTCATTTTGGATTGAGATATTGTGCTGTATGGATGGTTTTACTGGGATGGCAAGTAGTTCAGTTTTAGAGAGGTTGAGTTGGAGATGGTGGGATTTCATCCATTTTGATATGTCAGAGAGACAGTTTGATATTCGTGCAGAGACAGTGTGGTCGTCCGGTGGAAATGACAGATAGAGCTGGGTGTCGTCTGCATAGCAGTGGTAGGAGAAGCCATGTGATCGAATGATCTCATCCGGTGAGGTGGTGTATATGGCAAAGAGAAGAGGTCCTAGTACAGAGCCCTGGGGGACTCCTGTGGCAAGATGGCACATGGTAGAGGATTGTCCAAGCCAAGATACACTGAATGATCATTCTGTGAGGTACGATTCAAACCAGGCGTTGTTGTAGTAGTCGTAGTCATAGTAGTAGTAGTAGTAGTAGTAGTTGTAGTAGTAGTAGTAGTCGTCATAGTAGTAGTAGTAGCAGTAGTAGTAATTATTGTAGTAGTTGTAGTAGTAGTAGTAATAGCAGTCGTAGTAGAAGTGGTAGTAGCAGTTTTAGTAGTAGTAGTAATAGTTGTAGTAGTAGTAGTAACAGCAGTCTTAGTAGAAGAAGTAGTAGTAGTAGTAACAGCAGTTGTAGTAGAAGTAGTAATAGTAGTAGTAATAGTAGTAGCAGTAGTAGTAATAGTAGTAGTTATTGTAGTAGTAGTTGTAGTAGTAGTAGTAGTAACAGCAGTCACAGTAGAAGTAGTTGTAGTAGTAGTAGTAGTAATAGTAGCAGCAGTAGTAGTAATAGTAATAGTAGTAGCAGTAGTAGTTGTAGTAGTAGTAGTAACAGCAGTCACAGTAGAAGTAGTTGTAGTAGTAGTAGTAATAGTAGCAGCAGTAGTAGTAATAGTAATAGTAGTAGCAGTAGTAGTAGTTGTAGTAGTAGTAGTAACAGCAGTCGTAGTAGTAGTAGTAGTAATAGTAGTTGTAGTAGTAGCAGTAGTAGTAGTTGTTAGTGTCGTAGTTGAAGGTAGAAATGTCCCTGAACACATTCAGGAAAGAAAATCTCCGAGGGTGTTTATTTTTCTGCATCTCTGAGACGTACCAGCTTGTTTTGGACATCAGGGCCGGAGGTGGAGAACAGAAAAGTAACATTTTGTTTCTCCCAGGGTGATTTTAAGAAGAAAAATAAAACTCTCTAGCTGCTGCTTTTATCCAGCAGAGGGTGCTGCTGCTCCAAAAACACAAATCTGAGCTGTAAGAAGGATCAGTTTCCATGCAGTACTTGTCCCAGTGTTTTTGACCCCTCTCTGTTACTGGCTGTAAAACACACACAAGACACACAGTCGGTAACCATTAACAGTCCCTCCTGTGGATCTCTGGCCTGCGCCTGCACAGGCGTTTGTGTGCACGCTTGTTTCTGTGCATGTGTGCTAATTTTGGACGTTGCTGCGGGCAAATAAAGAATCTGGCGAATGACAAAGCAACTGATCATTATTCATTCTGCTCCACATAAAGTAGAGGAGAAGAAAGGAGGAGGAGGAAGCCTCAGAAAAGACAAAACGGTGGTTTTAGTTGTCTTCTCTCTGTGCTGCAGTGGTTTATTTTAGGATCAGAACATATTTCCTTTCATGGACACATGATGATTGATAAAGCTCTCATTAGGTACAGACTCCAGGCACTCCTAGATTAACAGCTGCTCTAATCAACCCTCTGTTCCTGCCACTAAATTCATACTGGATTCATCTCGTTTGGGCTCCATTAAACAACCCAGACGGGTAATGTAGCAGCGATCAGCCTGCTGGTTAAAAACAAACAATCTGCACTTTTATGGCTGTGAAATTGCAGCGAAATGCACTTTTTCATCACTTCTCTGTGTTTGGTGGTAACTAAAGAGGAACTACAGGTAAAATGAGATTGTTCATAACAGATTTGTCGTGCCTCATGGTGTTGTGATGTTCTATGTAGGATAAAGCATAGGAGTAATCCAGCGCCTTGGGCTTCCTGACAAGGTTGCGGTAGGCGCTTTATAAATAAAGCTTTGATTGATTGATTGATTGATAAAATGTTAACAGCTGACCCTGTTCTTTTTGTTTCCTTTATTGTATTTATACTTACAATCACAACTGAAAGCGTAAGCATTAACGGAGTTTTAGATTTGTACATTAATTTCCTTTATGAAATAAATTAGAAGCCTCACTTCAATAAAAGGCACTTTTAGGTTATTAAAGGAAGATGTGGAACACTAAAAATACATTTTTAATGATTATTTCTGATTCTAATGGGTCACTCTGAGTTTCATGCAGGCTGCAGGCTGAAGATGAAAATAGTCTCCTACACCTATTTCCTGCATTAGCTTCTGATAGAAAACAGACGGTGAAACTCTAGGGTTAGAAAATCCTGACAGATCTACATCACACTGTCGCTAACATTCATGGACTCACCCATCTTGACTCACGACGGGGAAGGCTGTTGTTGGTTTAGCGTCCAGGAAACAACTGTTAGCATTAGCAGCACCACCACACAGCAGAACTCCTCCAGACTTGTGTTATTTGTGGAGATAAAACATCAACATTGCAGAGCCAACAGGGTCAATGGTAGAGCCGTGTTGCTGTTAGCCAATCAGAGGTGAGATGTCTAAATGTCGCCCTCTGTGGAAGTACTTTTTTTGCCCTGAGTACGGCTTGCAAGGCATTTATTTCTACCAGAGACCACTGCAAATGTACTTTTATTACTGACCAAAGCAAAGAGTGATACAAAAGAGATAGAAATGCTAGTTCTGTAAAGGTAAAGTTTAGAAGTGGACAACAACATCTTACCTGTTTTAGGTAGCTCCTTTGATCAACCTCAGTTTGGAGAAATGTCTAAACTTACTAGAGGAAGTTAACAGGAATCAGTAAAAGACGGCAGTCTCAGTCATGTGTAGAAGATTGATATGCGGCAGCAACATCTCCTCATGCTGGTCACCTGCCTGGTCATATGTTGCTGTGCTTAGTTGTTAGATTTTGGAAAACAGCTGTTTCTCCAAACGGAGGCTGTTCAAAGAGCTCATAACAGCAGCAGGTATGATGATTTTGTTTAAAGGAGTGGGAAAATTGTTTAATCATTACATTTGTGGAGATCTCTGGTTGGAACGAATGCCTTGTAAGTCGTTCGCTCACCTGTTTCAGGAAGTAGATGTTAGCTGGAGAAGAGGTCGTCAGAAAACAGCAGGATTTGGAGTCTTGCTCATTATTATTTCCCGATATTCGGACATCTCATCTCTGATTGGATAACATCTACGTGACTCTACCACTGACTCGGTTTACTCTGCAACGTTGATGTTTTATCTCCATAAATAACACAAGCTCGGTGGAGTTCTGTCATGTGGTGGAGTTGCTAAAGCTAACGGTTAGCTCCTGCTAACTGAGAGGTTCTCTGCTGTTTCCTGGACGCTAAACCAGCAACAGCCTTCCCCGTCGTGACTTGCGAGTCAAGATGGGCGAGTCCATGAATGTTAAATGGCAGTGTGACGTAGATCTGCGTGGCTTTTCTAGTCAGAGCGTTTCCCTGTCTCTTTCCTATTGGCTACTAATGCAGGAAGTAGGGGTAAAAGATTATTTTCACGTTTAGCCTACACATCAGACTCAAGAGTGACTGACCATATTTCGATAAGAACAAGTAAAAAAAAACTACTTTATACGTATCTTCTCATAATTGTGATTCCACTATTTTTGCTGCCTTTAAACACGTTCATACAGAAAACATGAAGATGATATATGGGCCATTCCCATCTGTACCTGGTCGGCGTTGCCTGGATAGCTCCAGTCGGCCCCAGCCTGGCCCGGTTGATTCCACACATCCTTGCTTAGGTATGCAAGGAATGCAGTCAGAGACACTTTCAGCTTCTAGGTAATCAGCATGATAATGAATGATAATGAATTGAGCATGCCTTAAGCCCACGTGGGCCAATTCGACCCACCAATCAGAGGCTTGCTGTAATGGAAGGTGTGAATTTGCTGTCAGCGGTGGGTGTGTTGGCCCTGGTCAGCCTGAAGCAGACCACCTCAGAAAGAGGGCTAAAAAACAGTCTTGTTGCACCCTGAAAAAAGGCAGGCCATATGTAAGCACTATGCTATCCGGGTAAAGCCGACCAGGTACAGATGGGAATGGCCCATTAGTTGGCCTCAACAACCTCCACAAGTCAGCCTGACAAAACACGTGGCCTCTCAGGCAAAACCCAGGGATTAAAGACCCACGAAGCACCTGCTGCTGCTGCCTCCAAAGCTGTAGAGCACAATAACAAATGAGAGAGCGCGACTAGGGTAGGAGCTCATCTCTTATCTGGGTCTGTGCGCCTGGACAGTTAGAGGACACCGTTAATGGAAGACTGTCCTCGCTCTCTGAATAAAATATGTCCTTGCTGTGTAATTAGAAGGAGCTGCTGGTGGTCTTTAGCTGGATTCAGCTGTCAGGTATTCAGCGAGCATCTCCACGTCCTCTCAGCCACAATGGGATTTCATTCACACGGTTCCTGCTGCCCAAATGTCCTCAACGGCAGCTGGGAATGAGTGTGTGTGTGTTGGGGGAGGGGGGGGGGGGGGGGGGAGTTGGGTGCAAGTAAACATGCCTGAAATACAAAGACTGTGATGTTTCATTCATTACATTGTCAACATGAATAATAGATAGCTAATTGATATGCAACATGTAAAGCACACACACACACACACACACACACACACACACACACACACACACAGTAAGCTATTTATGTCTTGGTTGTGTTTAACTGTCAAAATGAACAGGAAAGGCTGAGAGGAGAGTAGCAACGCTCCTATCTAACATAAAACTTTCACATTTATCTAATAACTCTATTATTATTATTAATAATTATATCACCGGCCACCCTTCATCTGCATTACTTGGATCTTACACCAGAGGGCAGCAGACAGGGAGAGGGTTTGGGGAACTATGCTGATAGAGGTACAGCTCTTAAAGTGACAATGTGTAGTTTTTACCGTTAATCTCTGGAAATATCCATTGAAATGTTGTAAATGAATTAAGAGATGCTCGGTTGTTGAAAAATATTGGCGGTTTCATAACATTTAACCATAAAAAGCAGGTCTAAAATACATGGGGGCGGGTCTAAGTCTCTGGGTGACGCCACATCGGACGCCATGTTTCCTTCTACGGAAGCCTGTGAGGACAGAATGCATTTACTGATATGTAACAAATGATTAAAAAACTTTCAGAATTAATAAACATTGTTCTCTTACACATTTACCTCTTCACTCATTGCAAGTGAGGAAAGCGAGTCTGATGTTCTTGTTTTGCTGGAGGTTGCACTCCCAAGGATTTTTGACCCTAATAGCCACCCGTTGGTAAGGTCTCACTCAAACACAAAAATAATGCTTGCTTGCAAAGATTTAGGAATCTACTGCCCCCTATCTTCAAGGAAAACACACACTGTCACTTTTAATGAAATTTGTATTCGCCGCGTGAACGTGCTGGGTTCTGTATACATCTGTGAACCCATTCATCTAAATCAGGGGTTTGGAGGAAAGAAACAGGTAACACTGAGAGGACGGTGGCTCTGGAGGACCACTGCTGCCGTCCCCTGCCGGAGAGAATGTGATGCGGATGACTCTCAGCAGCTGCCACGGATGTTTACAGCTGGACTTTTGTTAGGTGTGGAGGCCATCTTTAATTTGACCGTCTCCAGAGAGAATTAGCTGCTGACCAGCAAACCTAAAGGCTCAGGAACCCTTTGCAGGTGTTTTGGATTCATCAGCTGACTGAGTCGAGACCTTTTCACAATATTCTAATAGTCTGAGCTTTTGAATGTGGGGTTTTATCAGCTGTAAGTCATGATCATCACATTTATTACAAATAAAGGTTGAAATATCTGGATTTACATGGAATGGGTCCGTCTCATCGGTTAGTTTCACCTTTTAAGTTGAATTACGAACATAATGAACTTTTGCACCAGATTCTCGTTTTTCCAATTTCATCTGTAGACGATTTTGACATTAGAGTATTTAGCAGTTCTGGATTTTGTCTTTATAAAAATTTTTACAAATACAAGAACAATTTGCACAGTGGTGCAGTGGTTAACGCTGTTGCGTTCCAGCAAGAAGGTCCTGGGTTTGAATCCCGGCCTGGGGTCTTTCTGCATGGAGTCTGCACGTTCTCCCTGTGCACGCGTGGGTTCTCTCCAGATACTCCGGCTTCCTCCCACAGTCCAAAAACATGACTGTTAGGCTGATTTGTCTCTGAATTGTCCTTAGGTGTTAATGAATTTAGTTGTTTGTCCTGTGTGTCTCTGCCCTGCGATGGACTGGCAACCTGTCCAGGGCGTACCCCGCCTGTTTGCCCAGAGACTGCTGTAGATAGGCACCGACCCAGCGTGGATAAGTGGGTAAAGATAGTGGATGGATGGTTATTGAGTTGATGGTAAACATCGTCAAGGAAACGCAAACTTGAGTTTCTCTAGTTCGGTTTCTTTCAGGCTGATTAAGGTGCAGCTGAGAATCTGAGTGAAGTAGGAGTGGGAGATGGAGGAGGACGGCACGGAGCTGAAGGACAAACAGCTCTGGGCCTCTGTGAGGATACTCCAGTCTGAAACAATAAAACACATGCACACAGAAGAACTCTCCACCAATAGAATGTCTCTGCTTGAGTGCTGTCGGCCAATCAGAGCATGGAATGCTGACACACCCACACGAGATAGCTGTGGTGATGCTGAGGTATGGGTTGTGTGTGTGTGTGTGACTCCCAGCAGATGCTGATTCTGGACCTTTGGAGGAAGCAGTGGTGTCCAAAAACGCCTGACTGCTGCTGTCACCGTGAAACAGGAACACACCTTTGATTCAATCAGAAAAGTTTTAATTACATATGGGTGCACACACACACACACACACACACACACTGAACGGTCAGTGGTGGAAAATCTGTTCCTCGTGTGAAATTCAGCTGATATTTCCTCCATTTGATCACAAGCAGCAGATTCGTTACCAGGCAGCAAAATGGATGTCGGATGGGGTCCAGGACAGACTTACACAGCAGGTCTCACTGATCCACATCAGGCCCAGAAAATCACACACATCTCTAGAAAAGCTGCATGGATAGTTCAGGGTGAGGAACTGCATCTAGACTCTAGGACGTGGGAAGAGGAGGTTGTCTAATGAGGTGCTGTTGAAGGAGGTAGAGATGGTGTAGCAGGTGTAGTAGGTCTAATAGGAGCAGGTGTAGGAAAAAATGTAGTTAGTAGGACCTACTACCTTCTCATTCACGTGGTCTAATCTGAAGTGGTGTAGTAGGAGTTCTAATATGAGGAGGTGTAGAAGGTGTTATATGTATTATATGAGGTGGTGTAATAAGGAGGTCTAATATGATGGAGTGTAATAGAAGGGGTTGGAACAGGTAGGTTGTGTAATATGAGGAGTAGCGGAAAGACAGAGGTGTAGTAGGTCTAATATGAGGTATAGCAGGCTTTATAGGTATTATATGAGGTGTAATAGGTCTAAATGTGCAGGTTTTATAGGTATATGAGGTGTAGGTGGTTTTATTGGTATATGAGGTGGTGTAGTAGGTCTAATATGAGGAAGTGCAGGAGGTGTTGGAAGATTGTCTGATATGAGGTGTAGTGGAAAGACTAAAAGGAGGTGTAGTAGAAGGTCTAATATAAGGAGGCATAATCGGTCTAAAAGGTGTTATAGGTATGAGGGTGTAGTAGGTCTAATGTGAGGTATAGCAGGTGTTATAGGTATTATATGAGGTGTAGTAAGCCTAAATGAGGTGTAGAAGGTTTTATAGGTATATGAGATGTAGTGGGAGGTCTAATATGAGGAAGTGCAGGAGGGGTTGGAACAGGTTGTCTAATATGAGGAGTAGTGGAAAGACTAATGAGAGGTGTAGTAGGTCTAATACGAGGAGGTATAGCAGGAGGACCAGATGAACTCATTTCCAGCTCAGAAACAGACACAATCAGGTACAGTTCCATCTGTTTATTGATTAACTATAAAATATTGACTTACTAAAACAATTCCAAAGAAACACTGATAAACGTGGTTGTCTGTAAAAAAAAAGAAGAAAAGAAATAAAACATGTTTCTTACACGCATAGCATAGGGTGACAGAATATATGTAGCTTCCGATTTTTATTTTTCTCTAAAATGTTTTATTTTTGCATTTTTACAAGATTAGACGTTTGTACAAAGTATACTCTGATAGCTTTCTTCCCTCAACAGCGGAGGAGCATTTACAAAACTTAGATGATTCTTCTATTTATTTTCAAAATAATCTTTTTTTCTCTAACAGGACAACAACGATACTGAAGGAACAGCAGACGAAGAACCAGCCTCCAGTCCACCTCTCTCTCTCTCTCTCTCTCATTCTCTCTGTTGCTCGCTCTTCCATTCCTCTCTTTCTAGCAGCTAGCTCCCGGGGCCCATCAGCAGTATTGCTCGAGAGGCGCGGACGATTGTTCAGAAAGGGTGGAAACGAGGGAAAATTACATGTATAAAAAAGATACAATCACAGCAAAAAGTACATTTTAACGTCATGCTGAAACGCAAAAGGTGATAAACAACATAAACAGTCAGGCTCTTAAAACACATCAAACCAGATGATATAATAAAAGGCTTAGTGGGGGTAAAAATGTGTGCCGGACCCTGTTCCAAGGCTGTGGATGGAGATGGGGGAAGAATAAAAGATCAGAAGGCAACAACACACCCATAAGGGTGTGAAGGTGTGTGTGTGTGTGTGTTATTAAATAGGATGTCTCCTTAAACACACACACACACACACACACGAGGGGGAAAGTGCTTTAGCAGCTCAGGGGGTAAACAAACATTCATAACGGGCACTTTTCACTCTGCAACACCAAACAGAGATCCGGTCTGGTGATCCGGGAACATCTGAGCTAAGTGTGAGCAGCATAGGGGGGGGGCGGGGGGGGGGGGGGGGATTAAAGTCACTCTACCTGGTTTAAACCCAGATTAGCAGCAAATTGTTAACTTTATCTGGATTATAGATAAAAATATTTAATAGATCACCAACATGTTAGCAGATATGTAGCGGGTTAGCTTGTCAGCTTTAGCTCGAAACGTCACGCGGCCATCTCAGAAAGTAAACGATAACGATTGGGCAGACGTAGCAAAAAGAGTCAAAATATCAAAGCTATTGAATATCAACAAGACCAGTTCAATCTCTGCAGCAAGGCAGAGCAAAGAAAAGACGAGATACACACACTGTACCATACGCTGGTGTGTGTGTATAGAAATAAAACACACAACAATAAAAAGAAGGCTGAGAACGGGCGAATGCGGATTTTCTTCTTCGCCAGGAAACATTCAGGGAGAGCAAAATCAACATTTTGGCAAAACACCCTCATAAGGTCCGGGAACGTAAGGCGACGCACATTTACAGAGAAGAAAGAAAACTCTACGAGGCACGCAGTAAACCACCCGGAGACTCGGTGTGTTCAGCAGAAACGTGGCTGCAGGTGTGTGAGGGGTGAAGGTGGTGGTGGTGGTGGGGGGGGGGGGGGGGGGGGGGGGTAACGTAAATACCTCCAGAAGACTCAACACGAGGACCGCCGGGAACAGAGTCTCCTCGGTCAGAGTGCACTGGTGTGTGAGCGGCGGCTGTGATCCAAGATAAACGTCCAAAAAGCAAAACACGAACAAAGAGGCGGCAGCCGACGGGCCGTCTGGAGGTCGCCGCAGACTAAACCCGGCCGCGCGGCGGGAAACAGAATCACGACCTAATCTGAGCCGACAGCTGCGCGGGGAATACCAACGCCATCGCCTGTGGCGTTTACGACCCCGGTGTAAAAAAATAAAACACTTTGTGTGATTCCTACACTGTCTACAGATCACGTTACAATCGGCGGGGGGGGGGGGGGGGGGGGGGGGGTAGAAAGCTACTAGACGAGAAAAACAATAAAAAGCATTCCGGAAGGCGGCAGCTGTGGAGGGTAAAATGCTTTTCTCTCATAGTGTTTTCCTTTAGAAGTGCTTTCATTCCTACTGCTCTCCTCAGCCTGAGTCTACATGGTGGTGTGTGTGTGTGTGTGGGGTGGGGGTGGGGGGGGCATTTTATTAGCACAGGGACAATTAGCCCGAGTTAGGATTGTCAAAGGGGGGTGGGGTGGGGGGTGGGACAGGAAGTGTTTTAAGCGCTTTGTGTTGGACAGCGAGGCTACCCCTCTCTCCTTCTGTGCATCGCTCTGTTGCTTCCTGCTGTTCTGTACGTACTTCTACAGGACCGGAACGTCACCACGGCAACACCGTAAATCACAACATCACTTCGACCGGCGTCAGTCCTGAAATAACGAAGGTGACGAACGTCGTCGTCATTCACAGTTCATTAAAGCTTCTCCACTGTTTACAGAAGAAAGAAAAAACACTCCGGCGTAAAAACAAGACACTGGTATGTTCCTCTAGATAACCGTGGTATTTACACGTGTGTGAGCATACATGCTGGGTGTGTGTGTGTGTTTGCGTGTGTGCAGTAGCTCCAGGAGACCAGGTCCTTGCTGAATTCTGTCCGTCTGTAGTGTCTCTGTCGTCTCTCTGAAGCGAGGAAACGGTCTGGAAATGAAAAGCAGTGATTGGACCACAGGTCGGGCGTCGTCCACTGGTGAGGTCGCGGTTTGTTTTCAGTAGCTTGCTCTAGCAGATGACCGGGACTCCGTCCGTGTTAAAGATCATGCCGGTCGTGGGCTCGTAGGTGCCGGCCAGGTAGTAGAGGTCCTCGCTGTCGGCGTAGCGGCGGGTGTGGATCATCTGCTCGTACTCCTCCACGCTCACCACCAGACACTTGTGACTGATGGTCTGCACGTCGTTCTCGTCGCTGTGGGACGACTGGTAGAGGGCGCGCTGCGGCAGAAACACAAACGTTCACGCATCACCAAGAAAACCAAAACGTCGATGCAAGGAGGATTTGTAGTAGTAGCGGCGAAAGCGCTGGCGGGCCAGGTTTGGCCCGAGAGCCAGCCGTTTGACACCTGTGGTCTAAGTAAGCGAAGAGCTCCACCTACACACACATTTGCTGCTAGAGGAGCTTAACGAGCTTCAGCTGATGAGCAGGAAACACAAAACCAACAATACCGAGCAACAACCTGTCAGCAGAAAGGATGAGAGGGATTATAAAACTAGGAACAACGTGGCAGAGATGTGGAAGCGTTCCTGTCTGACATCAGGAGATGATGGTGTCATTCTGTTCTAACTCAGAGCCAGAGCCCGTCTGGATCCTGATCAAAAGGGTACGTTACGGTAAAGACGGGAATAAGCTGCATCATCGGAAATCTCCGGCTGACACGGATTCATCCATTCTCGTTCGCTTATCCGGGGTCGGGTTGCAAGGAGGCCCAGACTTCCCTCTCCAAAGCCAGTTGGACCCGCTCCTCCGGAGGAATCCCAAGGCGTTCCCTGGCCAGACGAAATCCATCGTCTCTCCAACGTGTCCTGGGTCTTCCTTTAGGTCTTCTCCAGGCTGGACGTGCCCAGAAAACCTCCCCAGGGAGGCGTCCAGGAGGCGTCCTAATCAGACGCCAGAGCCACCTCAACCGGCTCCTTTCGATGTGGAGGAGCAGCAGATCTACTCCGAGCCCCTCCCGGATGACAGAGCCTCTCACCTCTACCCTGCATTTTGCCCGCTTGTATCCGTGATCTCGTTCTTTCGGGCACTACCCAAAGCTCGTGACCACAGGCGGGGGTAGGAACGTAGACCGACTGGTAAAACTGAGAGCTTCGCCTTCCGGCTCAGCTCTCTCTTCACCACGACAGATCGGTACAACGCCCGCATCACTGCAGACGCAGCACCAATCCGCCTAAAATTCAGGATCTAATCATTTTCCTTTCTTTTGATCTGGATAAAAACTTTGATCTCAGAAATTGTATTTGTACGGATGTTTTCTAGAGGATTTAAGTTCTGCTCACCTCCACGAAGTCTTTCCTCTGGATGGAGGAGCGGAGCGCAGCAGGTAGGGACTGACTACACATCTGGTCCCAGTTCTGAAAAAATAAATAAATAAATAGGCTCAGTTGCTCCTGACCTTTGATCCAAGCATCAGGACAGGTCCCCGAGCGTACCTTCTTGTCGGTGAGTTTCTTGCCGGGGTTGGTCTCCTCTGGGTGGTAGAACCAGTTGACCCGGACCACCATGTTGTTGCCCCAGGATTCCCACATGCTCTGGATGCGGCCGATGAAGGGCAGGTTGGGCCGACCGGCGGACAGGAACACGGCGCAATCTCCGATCCGGATCATCTCTCGGCCACGCACGATGGCCTTGTAGAAGAGTTTCTTTGCCTTTCCCTTCATGCCGCGTCTCTGAAGAACACGAAGGGGAGAAGTGACGTCTGGGTGGGAACGGCTGCTGGGAATTCAGCGGAGATCCACGGATTTCCCTCTTACCTGTGTGGGATTCCCAAACCACTTCCAGAGCTGCCTGGCTGGAAGGAACGCAGATATTTTGGGTCGGTTCTCCACGCTAGGAAGCCTCTGACGCTTGGCCAGCTCCTTGGTGGTGGGGAGGTGGACCCCCTCTCTCCTCTTGGGCCTCCCTGCCTTCCCCTCCTCTCCGCTGGGCTTCGGTTTGGGGGGGCGCCCCCTCTGCCCGGAGCGCTTCCCAGTGGCAGGTTTGGCAGGTTTAGAGGGAGAAGGCTCAGCAGGAGCTGGGGGAGATGAAGGGGAGGGTGCCTCTGAGTGAGGAGACATCTCCTCCTCTTCTACTTTCACCTTCACCTCCTTCTCCTCCTCCTTCACATCTTCTTTAGGTTTGTCCTGTGCCGGGGGTTTTGGGACGGGCGCCGGTGGAGGTGTCGGGGTCCTCTCTTCATCCGAGCTGCAGGAGGAGTCATCGGTGGATGAGGACGAGGAGGAGGAGGAGGACGAAGATGAAGATGAGGAGGAACCGGAGCAGGAGGAGGAGCAGCTTGAGGTGCATTTCTTCTTTGTCTTCTCAGCTTCCTCCTCGGACTCCGAGCTGCTGCTGCTCTGAGATTCCTCCTTCATCCGTCTCTCCTCTCTCTTCTCCACCCCCTTTCTCTCCTCTTGAGTCTTCTCGTCTCTCGTGTCCATCCCCTGTCCCCTGCCCCTCTGGCTGTCCAGCTTGTCCTTAGCCAGCAGGGAGGATTTGTAGGCGGGCTCCTTGTTGGGCCGACTGGACTCTCGTTCTGGAGCTCTGGGTTTGGGCTTTAGCAGCTTCTGATTAGCTGTGGTGATGGGGGTGTGGTCTCTCCGGATGCTCCGCCCTTCCAGCAGCATTAAAGCCTTGGTCTTCTTGGTCTTCGGGGAGGTGACGCCCTCGTGGTCGAGCTTGACGAGGGGCTCGGCGGGCAGGGACTTCCGTCTCACCGTGGAGCCGAGATCCGACCCAGAGCCGGGCTTTGGCTTGGGGACGGTTCTGGAGGACATCTCGGATGGCATCTTCAGTTTGGGTTTGGAGGACAGAGAAGACGAGGGTCTGGACGTCAGCCTGGAGAGGGGGTTGGGCAGGAGTCCAGAGCCGTGGCGGTGGTCAGAGGACAGCATGGTTTTAGAAGATGAAGCAGACGTGGGTCTGGGTGTGGACGTAGCACCCGGTTTGGACGTCATACCGGGCCTGGGAACGGGCCGGCTGGAGGCGGGACTAATGGTGCTGCCACCATCCCGCTCTCTACGCTGGCTTGCGTACGAGCTGAGGTTGGGCTCGCTGTACAGGTCTACAGTCAGAACCTTCCCGTAGGTGGGCGGGTAAAGGGAGGGGGGCAGGTTCTGGGCGGGTTTACAAACAGCAGGCTGGGCTGAGCTGCTCTTCTTTGGCGCCGCGGTAGTGCTCGTGGAGGACGGGGTGGAGTTCTTATGAGCCGGTTTCACCTGCGTTCCCATCGCTGGTCGGGATGCTGGTCGGGATTTCTCCTGAGCGGACTTCTGGAGCAAAGTGGTCCGGTCCTGTGCGGACTTAGCTGGAGGCAGGAGTCTCTCAGTGGGCTGGCTGGAGGAGGAGAGGACATCAGCTTTCTCCTGAACCTCCGGGCTTCCAGGAGACTCTGAAAAGAGACGCAAAAGAAAAGTTGATGCAGGATGACATTTTCTCGGTCAGGCCTCACGATCTTCACGGCTCTGCTCCGGCTCGTCCCATCAGCAGGGAAACGTCCCAAAAGCGCTTAAGCAGCTGGAAAAACGGGCCGGTGTCGGTGCAGGATCGTCCGACTGCCGATGACGTCAAAGTACGGCAAACCCACTGGGACAAAACACACTACACATCTATACTGGTGGAAAGAATTTAGCAGTTTCGTTATTAAAATAATGTTTCTTAAGACATAAGTTTGTGTTTATAATGGTATTTGTAAAATAAAACACTATATTGTATTCATAATGTTGAACTCCTCTTTGAGCACATCCCTTGAAGGATCATAGGTATTAGCAACACCTGTGAAATTGTATTTGCAGGAAAGAAGTGTGTCCCGTTTATTGAAGTATTGTGTTTAGTTTTTGACGTCCTGTCCATGCGTAGTTCAGGTACGCTCATAGCTGCTAGCCAAAACTCTGGAGTTAAAAGTTTTCTGGCTTCACCAAAATACCTGTCTGTACTTATTTAATTGATGGTAGTTTTACATTCTATTACACTCCAAATGTAATCATTTGGCACGTTTCTACTTCATAATTTGTAATAATGTAATCGGTGATATTAGCATTAGCATTCCTATGGGTTTTTCCATGTATATTAGCATTGCGCTAACCACTCGCTGCAAAATTGCAGCCTTTGCGATTAGAAGATCTCATTTTGTCACATCGCAATTGAATTGCACATGCAGTTAATCGTTCAGCCCTAATATACATGCAGCTCTATGCTAAAAGTGTATTTTCAAAGAGGTAATGATGGATTTCTTTGTAAAAGTTGTCCATCTTTCCAACAGAAAGATTTGCCTGGACCAACGTAACGTGATTACGTAACTCCCGTAAGGTTCATGTTCAGCCAATCAACTACTTTGACGTCATCGGCAGTCGAAGGACCCCGAGCCGATCTTGCACCCGAGCAGATCCTGTACCGACACCGGCATCGTCAGATTCAGACAAATGACATGTCACGCGTCACAGCTCGTAGACAATCGCCGCAGAACGCAGGACTGATTGAAAACATGACTCAGCAGAAGATCTGGGCTGACGGCTGCAGGTTAGGGCAGATGTTCTCTCATCATAGGGAACAGCAGCAGTTTAGGTCTAGATGCTTTATCTGGGGGTGATAGAAGCAAAAGATCTCCTACATGAAGGTTCTAGAACATCCTCGTTAGGGACCATGATGGATTACAGCTGCTTGTTCCGTTTTCCAGCCCATACATGAACAATTAAGGCTCTAGTCTAGCATGAACAGGCAACTCCTGGAACACCAGCATCTCTAGTTTTACATCACCATCAGGGAGGACCAAGACGTCCATGTGGAGGAGTCAAGGTGGGGCCTTCAGCCCTAACGACACTACCAACTGTTGGGCATGGTGGTGGTAGCATCATGATGTGGGACTGGAGCTCAAAGTGGATGGAAACTTAAGGAAGAGGACTACCTCTAAATTTACTCGAACTCATTTGTTCCAGTAGTTTGATGGCTGTTTAACGGGTGTGAGTTAACCTGATGAGATGCTGGTAAATCAGGTGTTCAACCATCTAAATACTTGGGAGGACGGTGGGTAAACAAAACAAACACAGAGCTAGATGGCTGAAACTCAGACACAGATGGAGGGTGATGTCCTCAAACACGATGACGCTGATGAGTTTTCAGAAATCAACCAGAAGATAGACACAGATATCACACTTTTCCGGTTGATAGGAGACACATGGCCTGCCCTCACCTGGTTTGGGTTTGGGTTTGCGACCAGGCTTCCCCTTGGTCCGGGGCATGGTCTCCTCTGGCTTAGTTCCCGCCTCTTTGCTGCATTTGCGAACCCTCCTCCTGCAGGGTCCTGCGACGAGCAGGGCGGGGGACGGCTCGGCACCTGGACAGAGCAGGAGACACTTGAGCTGCTGAGACAAGACGCCCGAGCGGGCGGTGGCTTTCCTCTGCGGTTTACAGAGTTCGGTCCCTCGTGAAACACGGTGCTGAGGTATTAGTACCGCAGCTACGTCGTCGTTTTCCTCCGCTTATTCGGGTCGCGGGGGCAGCATCCCAACTAGGGAGCTCCAGACCGTCCTCTCCACGGCCACCTCCACCAGCTCCTCCGGCAGGACCCCAAGGCGTTCCCGGAGCAGATTGGAGATGTAACCTCTCCAACGTGTCCTGGGTTGACCCGGGGGCCTCCTGCCGGCAGGACATGCCCGAAACACCTCCCCAGGGAGGCGTCCAGGAGGCATGCTGACCAGATGCCCAAACCACCTCAACTGACTCCTTTCGATCCAGAGGAGAAGCGGTTCTACTCCGAGCCCCTCCTGCCGGCAGGAAATACCCGAAACACCTCCCCGGGGAGGCGTCCAGGATGCATCCTGACCAGATGCCCAAACCACCTCAACTGACTCCTTTCAATCCAGAGGAGCAGCGGTTCTACTCCGAGCCCCTCCCGAATGTCCGAGCTCCTCACCCTATCTCTAAGGCTGAGCCAGGCCACCCTAAGGAGGAAACTCATTTCGGCCGCTTGTATCCGCGATCTCGTTCTTTCGGTCATTACCCAAAGCTCATGACCATAGGTGAGGATTGGGACGTAGATCAACCGGTAAATTGAGAGCCTGGCTTTCTGGCTCAGCTCCCTCTTCACCACGACAGATCGGCTCAGCGTCCGCATCACTGCAGGCGCCGAACCAATCTGCCTGTCGATCTCCCGATCCCTCCTACCCTCACTTGTGATCAAGACCCCGAGATACTTAAACTCCTCCACTTGAGGTAGGACCTCTCTCCCGACCCGGAGTTGGCAAGCCACCCTTTCCCGCAGCTACGTTAGCATTTATGGTTAGCATCGACTTTAGGACCAACCAGCTGGGAAATAACATTTGTGTGTGTGTGTGTGTGTGTGTGTGTGTGTGTGTGTGAGTGTGTGTGTGTGTGTGTTTACAGTGGATCTTGTAGTCTGGCGGCAGCAGTCGGATGTGGGAGAGTGGAATGCGTCCCGTGTCCCCGTCATCAAACTCCACTGTGATGAGATCATCGTTCTCATCAATATCGGAACTTCCTGTTTGGGAGGAAATCACATGATTGAGACGCCGTGTGACTTTTTTGATGGAGGGGTTGTGTTTGTGTGTCGCTGCCGCACCGTTAACGACGGTACCCGGGTAGAGGCAGCGGTACTGCTGACTCCAGTAGGCGGCGATGCGAGTCCCCTCTGGGAGGTAGCGCACCGACGGAGGTTTTACGTCGATGATCTGGAGAACACAGGAAGAAGAGCTGTCGAAACGGCGCTCAGATGTTTCCCGAGTCGGTTCAATCTACTCACAGCTTCCTGCAGCAGCTGCTCCAGGCAGTAGATGTGAGGTCTGTTTCCTCTCTCCCCCTCCACCACCACACTGTAGCTGAAGGAGGGAAAGGGGCGGGGCTTAGAAATATTCCCTTGGTATAATAATTCAGATGACTGAGTTTACAGAGGATCTACTTTCACGTCATTCTGGAAAAGACCACAGGAGGTGATGATGTCACTCACATGTCCGGGGAGTGGACGGTGTTGACGTGTCCCGCGTAGAGCAGCTGGTCCTCCATCGGGATCAGAACTCTGAGTCCGTCCACCAGAGAATCCTTATCCAGCACACACTGGACCGGGGCTGGGCACCACGAGAAGTTAGGACTCATCCATGCGCGTGCATGTGTGTGTGTGTGTATGTGCGTGCGCGCTCACCAAGTGTAGAGGTCGGCTCTGATACGCTGTTGCTCCGTGTCGGGAGCAGCTCATCCTCGCTGAAGCTGCCGTCCTGGTTCGGCTCAAAGTCTTCGTCTGCAGCCATGCTCTCCATCAGACGGCTCACCGCTCCTCTGGACAGCTAAAAAAAACAAACAGACTTGTTTATGTTTTAGGAAAAATAAAACGCAAAATACATTTTCCAAAAATCCCTGAATAGTAAAATCTGTCCCAAAGCCTTCCCTGAGCTTCCTACTGCAGGTAATTTAACAGGTCCAGCAGCAGCGTGGTCCAGCAGGACCTACTGCTGCTGCTCTCACTCTCTTCAGCTGCAGATGGTGAGGCACGCAGCAGCACCGCTCTAACACAAGCCAACAGATCCTCTCTCATGATTCTAATCAGAAACCAAAAAGCACCAATATTCTGTAACAAGCAGGTAGATCAGGAAGAGAGCGTTTGGCTTTCCGTAGCGTTACTTCAAGATGAGATCTTCTAGCCACAGAGGACCTTCCCCATAAACAAGGTTTGGAGGCCCCGCCCCCTTTTGGAGCGCAGCAGACTTTGCATGAAAGGGTCTAAACAAAATTTTGTGTGACGTATCTATTAAATATCTTTGAAAATATCAAATTTGAACAAAAATAAAAGTTGATTGCTCGTCTGTAGCTACGAGGCATAAAAAGGACTCACCTTTGCCGTAATGACATCTGAGACTGGTTTGATGGGTTTTTAAATTTCTTTCTGGTCTTTAATATAAAAAAGAGGCTGGGTCACGCTTTCTTCACCCATGTTTGTTGTATTTAGTAAAAAAATGTATGAATTATTCTCTTAAGTCTGAAGACCAAAGGTGGTTAATAACAGACTAAAGGCTAAGCTTAAAGACAGCTCTCACCCTGGATTCTCATGTCAGTTCTCTTGTTCGCTCTTCCTTCTTCCATCTCAGGAACGTTGCTAAGCTGAGTCCCATTCTGTCCCGCTCTGAACTTGAGAAAGTTCTCCACTCCTTCATCTCCTCACGCTTAGACTACTGTAACTCTCTTTTCACATGTCTGAGCAGAACCTCCCTGAACCGTCTACAGGTGGTTCAGAACACCTGTGCTCGGCTTCTGACCAAGTCCTCCAAACACACCCACATCACCCCGCTTCTCCTCCAGCTTCACTGGCTGCCAGTCAACTTCAGGGTTCATTTCAAGATCCTGGTTCTGGTCTATAGGGCCTTACATGGACAAGCACCATCTTACATTGGTGATCTTCTTAGTCCCTACACCCCCAGCAGGTCCCTGAGGTCCAGTGACCAAAGCCTACTGGTTGTGCAGCACCAGGCTAAAGACCAAAGGTGACAGATCATTTGCTGCTGTGGTCCCCAGACTCTGGACCTCTCTCCCCCTGAGCCTGAGATCAGTGGACTCAGTGGTCTCCTTTAAAAAGCAGCTGAAGACTCACTTGTTCAAGCTTTGGTGTGACCTTCATCACCACCCTCTCCTTATTCCACTGATTACCCCCTTTCCTTACACTTTTTATTCACAATATTTGTCATTTAAACGTGTTTTTAAATATTTTTTAGATTTTAAAATGTTTGTTTTTGTGAAGCGCCTCATGATTTTTATCTCATCAGGCTCTGGTGCTCCCGTTTCAGGAAGCAGAAGTTGGCCGGAGGACAGGGAAGTGGAAAACTCAACATCATTCCTCATGTCCGAACATCTCCCCTCTGATTGGCTAACAACACAACTCTTCCACTGCTTCCACTGCAAAGGGAGTTGCTAATGCCAACAGGTGTGCATAAAATATTAAAATCACCTCAGATCCATTTTTACGCTATGTAGGGTCGAATTACAGGGGAGCTAAGGGGAGCCCAGCTCCCCTGAAAGGGCCACGGGCTCCACTAGAAGCCTCGAACTTACAAACCCAGGGGAAACTTGTGTATCAGACTTACAGGTGCTGGCCAGTAAATTAGAATATCATCAAAAGGTTGAAAATATTTCAGTAATTCCATTCAAAACGTGAAACTTGTACATTATATTCATGCAATGCACACAGACCAATGTATTTCCAATGTTCATTACATTTAAATTTGATATTCATAAGTGACAACTAATGAAAACTCCAAATTTGGTATCTCAAAAAATTAGAATATTCTGAAAAGGCTGAATATAGAAGACACCTGCTGCCACTCTAATCAGCTGATTTACTCAAAACACCTGCAAAGGCCTTTAAAAGGTCCCTCAGTCTTGTTTTGAAGGCACCACAATCATGGGGAAGACTTCTGACTTAACAGCTGTCCAAAAGACAATCATTGACACCTTGCACAAGGAGGGCAAGACACAAAAGGTGATTGCTAAAGAAGCTGGCTGTTCGCAGAGCTCTGTGTCCAAGCACATTAACAGACAGGCGAAGGGACGGAAAAAATGTGGTAGAAAAAAGTGTACAAGCTCTAGGGATAACCGCACCCTGCAGAGAATTGTGACGACAAACCCATTCAAAAATGTGGGGGAGATCCACAAAGAGTGGACTGCAGCTGGAGTCAGCGCTTCAAGAACCACCACGAGGAGACTCATGAAAGACATGGGATTCAGGTGTCGCATTCCGTGTGTCAAGCCACTCTTGAACAAGAAACAGCGCAAGAAGCGTCTCGCCTGGGCCAAGGACAAAAAGGACTGGACTGATGCTGAGTGGTCCAAAGTTATGTTTTCTGATGAAAGCAAGTTCTGCATTTCCTTTGGAAATCAAGGACCCAGAGTCTGGAGGAAGAGCGGAGAAGCACAGAATCCACGTTGCATGAGGTCCAGTGTAAAGTTTCCACCGTCAGTGATGGTGTGGGGTGCCATGTCATCTGCCGGTGTTGGCCCACTCTGTTTCCTGAGGTCCAGGGTCAATGCAGCCGTCTACCAGGAAGTTTTAGAGCACTTCATGCTTCCTGCTGCTGACCAACTTTATGGGGATGCAGACTTCACCTTTCAACAGGACTTGGCACCTGCACACAGTGCCAAAACCACCAGCACCTGGTTCAAGGACCATGGTATCCCTGTCCTTGATTGGCCAGCAAACTCGCCTGACCTTAACCCCATAGAAAATCTATGGGGTATTGTGAAGCGGAGGATGCAATACGCTAGACCCAACAATGCAGAGGAGCTGAAGACGACTATCAGAGCAACCTGGGCTCTCATAACACCTGAGCAGTGCCACAGACTGATCGAGTCCATGCCACGCCGCATTACTGCAGTTATTGAGGCAAAAGGAGCCCCGACTAAGTATTGAGTGCTATACATGCACATTCTTTTCATGTTCATTCTTTTCAGTTGGCCAACATTAGAGAAACAAACATTTTTTCATTGGCCTTTAGAATATTCTAATTTTCTGAGATACCAGATTTGATGTTTTCATTGGTTGTCACCTATAAATATCAAATTTAAATGTAATGAACATTGGAAATACATTGGTCTGTGTGCATTGCATGAATATAATGTACAAGCTTCACGTTTTGAATGGAATTACTGAAATATTTTCAACCTTTTGATGATATTCTAATTTACTGGCCAGCACCTGTAGTTTCTGTGTAAAAGTGTCATTTGTCCAGTTTGGCTTTTTTTTGGCAAGTGTGTTCAGAGTCAGTCAAGGTAATAAAATCCACTGACCTCTCGGGTTTTGCATCTGGGTTTGGACTGGCTCTTGCGTGCCGGGCTCAGACTCAGCGGGGCAGGACCCTCACCGATGGGACTGCAGAGGGAGGACGGGCTGACGGGGAGCGGGGAGTCCTTCAACTTCTTCTTCTGCTCGTCAAAGCCACCCAACAGGCAGAAAAAACATGCAGATGAATAACACACACACACACACACACACACACACACACACACACACACACACACACTTTGAGCACATCTTTCACCTCCCGGCTGGGTGGAGTAGGCTTGGGTCTGGAGGGAGTCTTTGGGGTGAGGGGTGGGGCTGAGCTGGAGGAGCTCTGACTGGCAGAGGAAGAGGCAGAAACAGGCATCTGACTGGTTGTACTGGTGGTGGCGTCGTGGAGGAAGATCCTTTCGCTGCGTCTGCGGTTCCAGCCCTCATCCTCACTGAAGCCTCCGACGCCGGCGGCTATGTCAAAGCTGAATCTCCGTGCTGACCGAGGAGAGGGGCGTGCCTTTGCCAGAGGTTTGTCTTTTCCAGGCGGCGCTTTGTCCCGCTTGATGGGGCTGGGCTGGTCGACACGGCTAGTCACTGGAGGGAGGAGGGGGAGCTCGGGGGCGGCTCGCTTCCCGTGCAGCAGAGACGGGAACTTCCTCAACCTCAAGTCTGAGCCTGAGTCGGACCACTCACACTCTGGGGAACCTGAGAGAAGCAGGAAGTAGATGTTGTGGTGATGCACTCAGGTCCATCGTTTGCACAAACATCAACACCTCATTGCCGTTTTACCCAGAGTGCTTTGCCTGCTGCAGGGTTTGCCTTCACAAAGGAGGCTCAGAGGGGCCGGGCTTGCAGGGAGCGCACTCGCTGCAAACCGGGCCAGCAGACCCAACCCACTCTCCTCACAGCCATCTTCATCATCATCACTGTTGTCATCCTCTGAGCCGCTCTCGTCCTCTTCATCGTCTGAGGACTCTGTATGAGAGAAAAGACCGTCAGCTCTCAAACATGGAAGCTCTCACGTCCGGAACAAATGTCAGTCACTAAAATCAGACAATCTGTGCACGTGCACGCACGCACACACACACACACACACACACACACACACACACACACACACACACACAGAATAGCCTGGTGAGAAGCAACAGCAGAGTTAGAGGAGGATCTGTCCACACTGCCGTCACACAGTCGAGCTACACAGGAACGAGAAAGAACAGAGGAGCCAAACCTGTGATCAGCCATAAACATGCACTTCTACAGCATTTATACACACACACACACACACACGTATACATGTATACACACACTGCTGGTTAGCGGATTATTATTGGATGTTAGCGTTTAGGTCCATGGCAGCAGATGAGCAGGAGGAGCGTCTCGTCAGAGGGGTTAGAGTGTTAACAGTGGAGGTGGATGCGCAGCGGCCGACCTCAGCAGACGTCTGATTTTACATTTGTTTTGGTTCTGATGGGATCGTTTCACAAAAACAGGACTCTCAAATCCAGGATGAGGAGAAAGTTGAGCTTAAACCAAACCACTACGATCTGATTAGTCAGTCGCTGGGAAGCGGCTCATTTAGTCATTTCTAAGATCAAGTATGGTAATATAAGTGTCCAAGTTCTACCAACGAATGCACCGATTCTGGTCGGGTAGTCAATACCGATTTCTGATTCTACTGAAACTCAGATTAACACGGGGCGATCTCAGTGAATTATGACCAGAACAAAATCTTTAAAATGATACGTCTATCGTTAAAAGTTACAACTCAGGTTTTGCTAACGTGAGTTAGCGCTTTAAAAAAAAAAAAGGCAACATTGCACACCAGAAAAAAAAAAGTTGGGATTTTTTTTGGTGCGTTCACGGACCACAACAAAAAAAATGTTTGGCGCAACTCGATTAAATATTCATTTTTGAGCAATTTTGTTTTATTTTTGTTGGGACTGAATTTTACTGGAGAGAATTTTGTTTTGCATCAGATGATCTGATTTAAAAAAAAATATATATTTACTAATTATTATGATCAGGTTATAATTAATCATTAATAAATAAATAATTTATACAGGGATCAAGTCGTAGGGTTCATTTAAAAAATGATTTTTACAATAAAGTACAAAAATACCTTTTTTGAAATGGGGCTGTTGTCCTTATTGGACGATTAAAACACTCTGGGATTACCTAAACCAGCTCGTTACAGCAGCAGGTTTCCATGGTAACAGACACTTCAGTAAAACTCTTGAGAGGATCCTGTTTAGTGACATAATCCCACCGACTCCGGAGAATCAGCTGCACTGCGAATCCACGCTGTGTTAACGGTAGCAGAGAGATGTTACAAGCAGGCACCGAGAGGACAGCCCTGTGAGGCCCCCATAATGCTCATATCTGGTTTTAGTAACCATGGTTACGCCCTCTGTTCCCATCCACCACGAACTTTAAGCCACCAGGAGACATGGGAGTAACCACAGCTAGCATCAGTTTAAATTTTTAAGAACCGTAAACAAAAATAGAAACAACAATACTTCTGTGCATGTAGCTCGATTTTTGTTCATGTTAGTGATCAATAAAGTATAAAGGGAGGGGCGTTTCCTACTTACAGAGCAGGTGACAGGGGTGTGGCCTCAGGCAGGGCGGGGCAGCGCAGCGACGAGAGCGCGGCCTCGCTTTAGCACAGTCTAGCTTACGCTAAGCCTTAGCCACAGCGTAGCATCGCCGCAGCGAGGTCGTGTAGGCTCAAGGCTGCGCTAGTCCTGGCCAAGCTTCTGTAAAGTTGCAGTAGCAGCACCACAAGCACATGGAACAGGCTGAGAGACACTCAAAGCATCATGGGTAGGGAAAAAATAAATAAATAAAAAAGGGGGGGAGGGGGTCGAGGATGAAGGGGGGGGGGGGGGGAGTGAGAGGACAGATCAAGGTGTCTGAGAGAGAGCAGGGAAAAGGGTTATTTGAAGGTTTAGTAGACGCACAGGAGGAGCTCTATTGTCCAAATATCCCCCAAATCACTCGTGATGCATTCACTGACCCCATTAACAACAGCAAAAAACTGAGCCACATCATCAGCAAACATTTAGAATATAAAGGCAGCCAACTCCAAAGTGACCAGAATTATCGACGATCTTTTCAGCGGACTGGGTCCGCTCACACTCAGCGGTCTTCTGGCCTAAGCTAGGTGTGTTCTCCCACCTTAGCCCGGAGAACCGAAGGGATATTTGAGGAACAGAGCACTAACAGATGTGTGAGGTGCAGTGGCAGCTGGACAGACTGACAGAAACAGACAAACAGGTGGAGCAGACACAAGGACCACAGCACTTTGCAATCGTACCAATCAGATCAACCAGTTTAATAAAGCTCAAAGGTTTCAAACTGTAATACACCTTTATGAAGAAAAAAACATCTCACAATTCACATGATTTGTACAAATGCTACAAAAACATTGTTTTCCAGGCAATAAAAACTCCATAGAAATAGGTAAACTCTGTTTTCAAAAAACACAAATCAAAACAAAAACACTGCAACTCTGCAGAGAAGCCAGCAGCGAGAGGTAGAGATGGTCGAGCTAATACAGCTACCGTAGCAAGAAGCTAACAGAGACACAAGCTGTGAGGTCCGAGCGGCTCGGAGCGCTAAGATCGGGTCAGTAACCTTGATCGAAGGAGTCGTCGGAGGAGCTGAGGCCCGCCTCCTCCAGCAGCCGCGATAAGTGCTTGTGTTTCTTCTTCTGTGACTTCTTATCAGGCCGCAACAAAGTTGGTGACGACGTGGACCGCCTCTTCCTGGTCAGGCTGCCATGGGAACGCGTCCCTGAGAGAGGAGGCCAGCCTCCTCGAGCGGAAATGATCTCCTCTGAATCAGAGTCTGGTGTGGAGAAAACGCAGTCAGTGATTGGTGAGGGAGGAAAAGGTCCTAGAATAAATAAATAAATACTGAAGGATTTCCAAGAGAAAAGACTCCGAGGTTGGATTTTAGTCATGATTTCTACTAGATGTAGGAGTAATACAGAGGAGGCCTTTAGGCCGTTCTGAAAAGTGTTTTAAACAAAAAAAATAATAATAATAAAATAAATAAACGCCAAGGAACGCAAAAAGTCAGGAAGATCGTCTCCCAGAGCTTTTTTGGTGAACTTTGTAAACAGACCGGTGTTTGTGATGTCATCAGGTGCATTTCTTTATATAAGTTTTAAATCTTGTCCACAGCTCTTCACGCAGACACATTAAACCAAGTTATAATATTTCTGTGGTCAATAAAAAAAAACAGGTTTATAAAGTTGTTTCAGCCGTTCTATTCTTGATATTTTAGTACCTTCCAGAATGAGTCGTTTCAGGGCTCTGAAACGTACTTGCTTTGACCTACATGTGTTGATCATAGCTGCCTCGCATAACTCGCGTCTGAAGAGTCGTTTTGCGCATCCGCTGAAATTAGCGGGAGCTGCAACATGCGAGTAACCAGTAGGCGGAGTTGACAAAACAAGCGAGACACGATCACCATGGTCACACAGTCTCCAGTTTAGAGGTTTTACGACACCGCTGCTGACGTTTTTCTGTCGTGATCTCAAAATGAACCAGTTACTGATCTCTTCTATTGATGCCAGTACTACGCGCAGCGAGGCAGAAAACAGGTGAACAAAGATGGGTCAGACCAAAGTTAAACAGCAAGTATGTTCCCAGCCTGAGAAAACACGCTGGAACTGGCCACACCCACCCCCGCCCTGATTGGCTGCTATGAGGCGCTCATATACACACACATATATATATATATATATATATATACACATATACACACATGTACACACACACACATATATATATGTATATATACATATATATATGTGTGTGTGTGTACATGTATATATATGTATATATGTATATATATATATATGTATATGTGTATATATATATATATATATATATATACACACATATACATATATACACATCTATATAAATGTATATGTATACATATATACACATATGTATACATATACATTTATATACATGTGTATATATGTATATTATACATATATATACACACACACACACATATATATATATATATATATATATATATATATATATATATATATATATATATATATATATATATATATATATATATATATATATATATATATATATATATATATATATATATATATATATATATATATATGTGTGTGTGTGTGTGTGTATATATATATATATACATACACACAGGAGGGGTTTGGAGTAGAGCCGCTGCTCCTCCAGAGTCAAAAGCTGGTGGTAGAGTTCTAAGCTAATTTTTCATATTGTGATGTCACAATAAGGAACGTAGTCCAACAGCTTATTTTAGGCACATCATTCTCAGAACTCAGTGACTGAATATAATGAAGTAAAAGTACTTAGTTAATGTATTTGTACTTGACACAAGTAATTTTCTTGAGGCCTACTTTTTACTTTTATTTCTGTGCATTCTACTCCATTACATTTTCTAATACAGCTAGAAAGTAAAAGTACTTTAATGTGTGTTTTGCCCCCGGCCCAATAACACACTTCTAAACATCTAATAAATATTAACATCTAAATGTTAATAGAATACTTTTACTTTCTTACTTTTAAGTACATTTGAAAATGCTTACTTTAAGACTTTTCCCATGAAAGGTTTCTTGGATAATTACACATTTACTCAAGTAATCCCTTTATCTATCCTTTTACTTAAAATCAAGTACTTCTTCCTCTACGGCCTAAAACCCAACCCTTACAGACAAATGGACTTTTTTATTAACATCTGGAGCGTTTATAGACGCAGCAGAGACCCAGGAGCTGGAAACGGCCGGTTAAACGTGTATAAAAACCTGATCGGAATCGGCCAAGAAAACAGAAATATCTTCGTTTCTTTTTACCCAACAGAAGCAAATCTGACCTGAACGCCTAGCAGAAGCATCCCGCCCTGGTCACACTTACTGTTGGAGCAGCTGTTGAGCTCAGACCTGACGGGCGAGAACATGGCAGCCTTCTTCTGACCTTTCACCTTCCGGACCGCCTCTGGAGCAGACGCTTTTGCCCCCATCTTGAGTTTCCCTCCTTTAACGGGCGAGTGGACGCCTTGCTCCTTCGGTCCACTTTCAGCACCTTTACTCGACTTCTCCGTTTTTCTGCTGGAGGAAAGTTTTCGGGTTCCTCCGAGAGAGCCGAGGCGTGAGAGCGAGAGCGCCCTGTCGAGGTCGGACGCCAGCTGCTCCTGCTCACAGACCAGGCCCCGTTTCACCTTCAGCATCTACAGACACAGAGAACGTGTCACAAATAAATCAGACGCGTTGCTCGGCTGCTGCTGAGGAGACGGGCGTCCTACCTCCAGACAGTGAGTACTGGGCGACTCTTGGTCGTTCCAGCTCTTCTTGTTTTTCCTCTTCTTTAGCCCCGCACTTCCTGTCTCCATCTCATCTTCACCCCTGGACACGCGGAACCTCTTCCTCTGTCCTTCTCCTGCCTCAGAGTCCTCAGAGTATTGCACTGCCCGGCTCGCCCTGAGAGAGAAGACACGTCTACACTAGCATCGCATGCGGAGAGGAAGAACCACACAAAGGCCGCACACTCACTTTCCAGGCCGGCTGTCCAGTTTGGGAGGTGTGGTCAAGTGTTTCCTCTTCCTGGGTCTTCCCCGTCCTCGTCTGGTCAGACTCCTCCTCTCGTCATCCTGCTGCCGCTCACTGGTGAGAACCATCAGAGTCATGGACGTGTGCTGGCACAGGAGGACCCTCTCATCGTGTGAGATGCAAGCACCACTTACCGCTTGTCCCGGCGTCTCTGCAGCCGGCTCAGCTCCCTCTGCTTCTCCTTAAAGGTCTTTTGAAGCTCGGCCAGCTGAACGCGGTACTCCACCTCCACGGCGTCCAACATTTCCACGGACATTTTACTGTACAGCTAGTTGGAAGACAAAAGGAGACAAAGGCATGAGAGCGCTGGATCACGATCCTACAGACAGACACGTTTAACTTCATCTCACTGGCTCTTCCTTCCTCTGCCTCCAGCTGTACTTCCTGTTGGGGTCCAGAGTTCTCAGCAGGTGGATGTGGGACTGCTCCTCTATGGCCTCCAACAAAACCTGTCTGCTTGCCTCCAGGAGAAAATCTAAACCCTCCAGAGTTAGATCTGCAGACAAACACAGGCGGTTAGAACATCCCGGGACCAGAAAGGACCTGGTGAGCTGAGAGGGATGCTTGCCTTCCTCCTGGGTCTGCTTAGCCTCGTGAGGACCCATCTGGCTGAGCAGGGCCATCCCCTCCAGCGCCACCATCTCCAGATCTCCAGCGTCGCTGCAGTCCGTGCACACGGGTGGAAGCTCCACCTGTGGCAGGAGCGTCGGAGCGGGTGGAGTCCTGGGCCGGGCCATCTCGCTGGCAGTTATGAGTGCAAACATCCCCCCCATGGGATCCTCCGGGCCGACGGCCAGCAGGAGTGGGGAGAGGTGGATCGGGGGAGGGTACGGAGGAGGATCGCAGGAGCTTTCGGGGTGAAAGGGGGAAAGGACCGGAGTGCGAGGCTGCTCACACACAGAGCTGGTGGGTTCCTCCAGCGACACACACTCCTGTTCCTGGCTCTCCAGGTGTGCAGCAGCGGTGGCTGGGGGGTACTGGTCTGGTTCCTGAAGGAGACGTGGTTTTGACTCAGCTCCAGCACACGCAGGAGAACTCGCTGGACACGAGCACGAGGACACCTCTGTCTTAACTGGACCTCCTTCCTCGGGCTCCTTCCTAATGTCTTCTTGGCCTTGTTGAGTGTGAGGACTGGGGACGAGCAGAGGCAGCGGTTGGGTTTGGACTTTAGGGACTCGTCTAGCTACGTCGACGACACCTCTACCGGTTAGATCCGGACTGCAGCTTTGCAGACGCGAGCCGCGCGGCTCTGGCATCTCATCAGGCTGAGGGGGGTCCTCGACGGGCTCCTGTTTAAGGAAAGAAGCGTTCTTTGATGGCTCTGGTTTCTGTGGTTTGGCGTGTTCTCCTAAAAGCCTCGAGCGGCGGTGAGCTGTGGGTAGAGGAGCAGCCGGAGGAGGAGAGCAGGAATGGTCTCCTGTGGCTGGTGGTGGGATGCGATACGGGGGGAAAGGGGAGCCGTATGGGGCTGTGACGGACTGGTACGGGTAGCCGGGAGGGAGATCTGAAATAGAAGTAAAACGGAGAATAAAAACACTGAAAACGCTTTTCTGACTTGATGACGAGGAACTCACCAGAGAAGATGCCAGGAAACGGAGCGGGAGCTGGTTTCTGCTCCTCTCTGCGGACCACCTCCTCGTCCTCCGCCACTTCCTGTTTGGGTCTCCGGGGCGGGGGAGAGGCCGAGCGGGGAGATGGCGGGTGAAGACTCAGGGGCTTTGGTGAGCGAGACAGCCCCCTCTGCCCCCCCTCCGACTTGAGGGCGGTCACCGGAGAAGAGACGGGAGGCAGCAGGGCGAGGGAAGACGTGGACAGGGTGGGCGATCGAGATGGAGGGGGAGGTTTGCGGGGATGCAGGACAGGTGAGGGGGACGATATGGAGGAGGGACGAGTTTTGGTGTCCGCGTTCCGTTTGTCTGCTTTGTCTTCGATCTCAGGCCGATGTTCGCTGGCCTTCAGGCGCTCCTGCAGCACAGCAGAGGGTTTAATCTCACTCGTTTCACTTATTCACGCTTTTCCTTCAACACTCATATTCAAACGAAGACAACGGTTCTCGTGCTCAAGCGTCCACTCACAACAAGCTGAGCGTTCCTCTGGAGCTCGAGGACCTGAGCTGTGTGCTGCTGGATCATGAACAACTCCTGCTGCCGGATCATCTGGTGCTGCGAGAGGAGCTGCAGCTGGGCGGCGTGCTGCAGGGAGCTGCTGGTGCCGTACACGCTCGACCACACCGGGGCTCCGCGCTCCAGAACGTCCCCTCCTGCAGAACAGGGACACGAGGACCAGACCTTGCAGCGTTTGTTTTTATTCTGCTAGCATTACTGACACACTATCAGGTGTTCCTACCGTAATGTGGCAGGTGCTCACTGGGGATGACGATCAGCTGGCTGGTCTGAGGGTCCCTGACAAACTGGTAGGGAGGGTGCATGGAGCCTGGCAGGGAGGGGGGGTATCCTGGGGGGAGGGGCTGATGGATCGAGGAGGGACCCAGGCCTGGATCAGACACAAAAACAACCAAAAATGTTAGAGACGCTCGGTGAAAAAAACAGCAGAAGCCACAGCTTCGCCCTCTGAGTCTAGACAGAGATGTCCTCTGGGAGCTCGTCTCATCCACGCTTGCATAAGCAACAGTAGGAGATGCGGGTCTGGAACGTCTGATGGCACTTGACCCCTGGAGACTTTCGACCAATCAGAGACAGCCTGGTGAGTTTACAGAGGCGTCGGCGGGCATACCGTATGGAGAACTGGACAGCCAGACGGAGGGGGCTCCAGACCGGGCCATCCAGGGGTGAGAGGTCAGGGTTGAGGGGTCGGGAGGCCATCGCCCCGCACCTCCAGTGACCATGAGGTTGGGATTCATAAGGCTTGGTGTCATCATGCTGGGGGTCAGGCCTCCAGACAGAGGGGCGGGGTGCATCGTAGGAAACTCGGACAGACTCTTGGACTCCCTGGAACGACACGGGACTTTTTAATTCAGCGTACCACCTTCCGAAGGCCGGCCACCTTAACCACCGCAGCCCCTCACCTCATCACTTTATCCTCCCGCTCCAGCCGGCCAGCCAGCAGTCTGTCGTCGTGGTGACGAGGACGGTCCTCACCTCGCTCTTCATCTGAGTCGGGTTCAAAGATACCATCGTTAAGAGTGTTTGATCACGAGGGGGTTTGTGCTGAAATCTCCCGCCTCGGGAGAAACAACAGAAGTCACCACCATCATCATCATCATCATCATCATCATCGTGTGTCTTATGAGGAGAAAATCTATCATTTTTTCATAAAACGGGACAATTTTGACATATTTTTATTGTTAGTATGAGCATAAATTCACTGCCTCTATCCTTAATGTTTCTACCCGTAACCCTTAAACAAACCGGGGCGCGTGACTAGTGCGGTTGACAGCAGCCATGTCCCATTGGTTGGGTGTATTCTCAAAACGATTTCTGATAATGAACTTTATTATTTATTCACTATTCTAATGTGTTTAGTTTGTACTAAAATATGTTGTCGCCTGCAGGTAGCCGAATCCGTACGGAGACCAGCCCGTGTCCATTACATACTCCGTATGAGTAAAGGTTGGGCGACAAATAGGGCTGCTCAATTAATCGAATTTTAATCACGATTACGATCAGAGTTTTGAACGATTATGAAAACAAAACAAGCCGATTATTTGCTCCCCCCACTTGCGCTGCCCCGAGTTGCAAATGAAGCGCTCCTCCCACAGTGTTGCCAACTTGGCGACTTTTACACTATTTCCAACAGCTTTTCAGACCCCCTTCTTGACTTTTTAAATCTTAAAAGTACCTAGCCAACACCTCAGAAACATCTCTGGTAACCCTTAGCTACTTTCTGGATAACTGTCGTCGACATTTCCTGCAAGTTAGCTTAACACCCCGCCTGCGCTCCGGACCGTTCTTCATGACATTAGGAAAGGGAATGATGTAGTGATGTGTCGGTCGCTAAAGAAACGGCTCTGTGAGCCGGCTCCCTGTTGGATGAACCAGAGTGAGTGACACACACCGCACCTGCGGACTCCTGAGCCACTAAAAACAGCTAAATGTACGCGCGCTAAACACACGTGCAGCTTGCCCCGATTGCTGAGACCGGGTTGGGGGGTGGGGGGTGCAGCTGTGGTTGGGACAATGCAACATTTTGTGAACATCAATTTATTTGTTATAAATGCCACTGTATAATTCTTGTTGTCAGTATTTGCAAGATATTGGTATTTGGGTCTGTACTGGTTAGACTTAAATGAGTTAAACCAAGGTCTGTAGCCCTTGGGTCATAAACTATGAGCTATAAGTATATTGGTCTTTTTATACTGGGAATCAGGAGTTATTTTAGTGATCATCTTGTTTCTTATTTCTTTTTGTCCCGATTGTGCCCTGAGCAATTTTATGACCGAATAAAAACAAATAAAATCAACATAAATTGAAAAATCGTCCTAAATAATCGAGATCTCAATTTCAGTCACCATAATCGTGATTATTATTTTTGCCATAATCGAGCAGCCCTAGCGACAAATATAAAGAAAATTTCAAAGCGATTATCAGTTAAAAATGGTAGATGGGGAATTTATTGGCGCCGGAAACGCACGGAGAGCTCCAGCAATCACAATCGTTGTTCCTCAGTTTGCAGAAGAAGGGCATGAGCGTTCCACGCGAGATTTCACGTTTTTCTGAATATCACTGGCTATGTGACGCATCGCTCAACTATAAACTCTGATGCAGTTGGTTCACGCTACACGTGTGATAACGATGGGCGGTACTTCTGACCTGTCAGCCAATAGAGGGGTAACCTTTCACCTATTGGTTGAGTAGGATGCCACTCAAAGGTTTGGGGGAAAATTCAAATCTTTTCAGCCGTCTATGACGTTGGAATGTCAACGCGACGCTTGTTGTGGTCGAACTATTTTATTTTACGGCAACAAAAGTTCCTGTTTGATGAAATTCAGATAAAGATCCACCAACTGCTACCTCAAAAGTCACATTTTCAACTGGTCAGTGAACTCATCACGACTAGGCTCTAATTCGTGACACAAGTTTTTTATAAAGAGCCTTAAGATAAAATCACAAAGAACAATAACAAATGATGAACCCTCAAGCTTTAGGGACATTTTTGTCCATTTGGGCAGTTTTTTTTTTTTTTTTTTTGCTTTTCTTTGGGACGCCATTTAACCATTCTTTGTGCATATGGTACAAAATTTTGTCGCAAAACTCCTCTGGACAAATTTTGTAATTCAATTTGGAAATTTGAAAATAGACCAAGCGAAAAAAAAAAAAAAAAAAACTGTTCAAATGTGTAGTCTTTCTCGCTTGGGCCACATATGGAGAAATTCAATTCATTTCAAGTTTATTTACATAGCGCCAAATCACGACAAGAGTCGTCTCAAGGCACTTCACATAATAAACATTCCAATTCAGGTCAGTTCATTAAGCCAATCAGAAATAATTTTTCCTATATAAGGAACCCAGCAAATTGCATCAAGTCACTGACTTACCATAAATGACTGCTTTTGGTGGTAAACAGTAAAAACCATGAATTTGACTACCTTTCTCCAACATGAAACCCTAACATCACAGAAAGCGTGATTATTGGTTGCAGATGTTACAGGATCAAACACTGATTTTGAATGGAAGTCAATGGGACGTTTTTGTCTGCTAAAGCCGGGCGGACACTGTGCAACTTTTTCACTCGTAGCACTCAGCTTCAGCTCAAACTGTACGACTTCCTCGCAGGGCAGATCTCACGAGTCATGCGCTCACACTGCACGACCCAGTTCTCGGATGCGTCCTGACTGCTCACGCTGTACGTCTGGTAGCAACACGTCGGCCCTAAAAATATGCTAAAAATAGCAGTTTTTACTCAACACGTCAGACTTTTTTGTCTTGTCTTGCCTGTTGTCCTTCGGGAGTGCTGCAGGAGGACACACAGGGATTTATGGGGGTTGGATGAGGAAAACGAAATAAAGAAAGTGAATCTGTGTTTTGTGATCAGTTTAATTTGACATGAACACGACAAACACGCTTTCTTGACAATCTTTGTGAGTAAAACAACGTGTAGAAACAAAAATGAACAATGCGTGTTATTAGGGAAATAGCAGGCGAGCGGTGTTGATGCAGGATTGCGCATACGCCGTGAGCGGTTCTGATACTTTTTGGGTCGCAGCGCCGCTTCAACAGTGCGATACCCTCACGAGAGACGAGCAAAATATCAAACACGCCAGAAGTCCGTGCGAGCTCACGATTGCTGATCGGTAGCTGGTCACGTGGTGTTAATGGCCTCCCTGTACACTACACGACCGCTCGGCACAAAACTCGCCCCGATCTCGTGGATTCTCGCACGAGTGGAAATTCGGCTCAAAAAAGTGAAAAAGTCACACAGCATACGCCCGGCTTAAGATCAATCTGTTGCTACTCAAAAACATTGATGAATTTTTATTTTTTTTTAGATATTTCATAATATACCAAGACTGATTTATAATAAATGTCCCAAGAAGAAATGTCTGTTTTTGGGGGGAAAGTAACTCAATTTTTGTGTTTCTTTTTCCCATAAATTACATTAATGACTGAGTATACAGGCATTTAAAGGGTTAAAAGCCTCAAATTATGTAACATTTTATATGTTTGAGCAGGGCTGAAGTTGTTTAACAGATCTATGAAAAAAAGACTAATAATATTAATGTATACATTTTTGTTGCCACTTTTACACGCGGACGTTTTTATCCTCTAATGACTCAAGTGAAGTAAATTAAAGTGAAGCCTGAGGGTTAAAATATTTTAGCATCTTTTTAATTATAATTACCGTGATAAATCTGAATCAACCAAAACTAGTGCTAGCCCACAAGACCTAAACGTGTTGCTTGTTATAGAAATGCAACTTTTTCTCGTTTAGAAACTGGGAAAGGGAGCAGAGGCGACATCGATTTTCTGTAGAGATCTGAAAAACGTTAAAGCTAGACTCCAGCGGCGGTGTCGGAGCTCTGAAAACCAGAGGACGAGGCAACAGCAGCGAGATAACATGAGTCAGTCTGTCGAAACAAGACGAGAGGCCGGACTTCAGCCTGGACACAAACACACACAACCCGCTCTTCCCGTCGGCTCTTACGATGAACCGTGAAGGCACCACGACAGCCTGATTACTGGACTCACACGCCCACAGGCCTAAACACGTCCTGCTGATTAAAAGAGCCAACGGCTGCAGACAAAAAGAGCTGAATTACAAGAGAGAGAGACAGGAGCACTGAGGCAGGATATTCAGAATAAACATGAGGCGTTCCGGCTCGTATTCCCTCCTCCATCCCATCAGGGCAGACTGGAGGTCCCCGAGCAGCAGAAGGGTTTAATACGTGCGTGTGTGTGTGTGGCCTAAAACAGAGGGACGGCAGACTTTGACAATCCCCGATACGCTCTGCAGGAAGGACTCCTGTTACCAAGGTTACAGCCAGCCAGTCCCACATGCTATCCAGGAATCAGCAACACACGCCTATCCCTCATGGCTGGCCTTCACTCCATCTCCTCATCCATCCATCACTCTGCCCATCCCTGTTAATTGTTCCATCACCCTCCTTTCATTCGTTCACTGGAGCAGCGCTGGTTAATTTAAAGCTCTGACCGCGACAACCTGAAGACTTCCCAGCCAGGAGGACGGATGCATTCCCGCTGAACGGGAACGCACATCCAGATCGCCTTTTTATTCACAATCACCACCATCCTCTCTCTCTCTCTAGTTTAGCAACACTGCCAGTACAGTAACTGCTAAGTTCCCAGAATGTAATGAGTGATGGACCTCTTTTGCTTGTCAGCCATCGCTTAGCAACATGGCGGTGTTGTAATTCAAGGCTCGTTCGTAGCGGGTAGCTGCTCTAGTCTGTGATGTCATGTTTAATGCATGAAGAGACGAAGGCCTGAGGTGGGACAGGGGACCAATAAAAGAGGGAGGGAGGGTAAAAGATGAGACGGTGGACAGAAGCAGGCCCGGCTGAGGCACAGGAAGGAACCGTTGACGCAGTTTCAAAGAGAAAGTTTGTGTTTTAGATTTGGGGTCAAACAGCTGCAGAGGAAACACGACTGACTGATGTTAGAGGCCAAAAGCTACTGAAAACGTTTCTTTAATGTCATTCTGAGACCGGAGGAGTCAAATACTCCACGTCCTGCAGACAAAAACTGAATGTTACCTTTGATGGTTGTTTGCAGCAAGGGTCTCTGGGAGTCCGAGCCCCCGCCAGTCTGTTTATCGCGACTCCCACTGTCTCTCTGACGGGCCACCGCCACGGCAATCCCAACGGGAGGATGTCGCACCTCGCCGTCCCCTTCCCGGCCAAATGAGCGGGCGCTGTCGGGTCTCTCCTGCTCCCTTTTCAGCTGAGGAGGCATTCTCGTTGATCCAGAGCCGACGACAGACACTTTCTCCCGGTCTCTGTTCCGCTCCTTGTCCCTCTCAGAGTTCGTCCCGATGTTAGCCAGACCGCCGAAGGGCCCCCGTCCATCCACGATGTTCCTGGAAGAAACGGGGCCTTCGGCGGGGAAGTTCCCGCTGTATTTGATCAGACTCTGCATGGCGGAGACCTCCGGGGGATCAGATCCGCGTTCTCCGCTCGCCATGAGCGACCCGCCGGGGCGATACAGCACAGGCTGGTCCAGGTAGCGCTTCTGCCCCCCCTCCTCACCCGCTCGCCCGTGTTGGGAGGGGTGAGTATGGGGGGAGGACTGGGAGCTGTTGGGTCTGTGGGACGTCTGAGGGGAACTGGACTTCTGGACGTGCTGGTTGTGCGGAGAGGACAGCGTGTGTCCGTGCTGAGCCGCCAGGGCAGCCATGTGATTTGTGGCGAAGTTCGCCAGCGGGCTAATGGCATTCCATTTAGGCTCCGCCCCCATCTGCTCTACTCGTATCAAGTGTTTGGAGGCGTCCCTGGCTTCAGGGCTGAACCGTGATTGACTTGAGGACGAAGACGTGTCCGGACCTCGTTTACTGAAGGATCCACTGGAACAAATAACAGAACCTTCTTCTCTTTGATTGCCAACGTCGCCTGTGAGGGAGAGACGAGGATGCTCTACGAGGTTCTTCTCCTGGAACCTGAAGCTGTCCCTGTCCCGTTCGAGCTCTCTCTCTCGGTGTCTGATGTCGCGGGCCTGCGAGGCGATCTGAATAGGCCCCACCCGCTCGTCGTAAACCTCCACAGAAGGCACATATGTAGTAGCGCTGACTCGCTGCTCTCTGGTGGACTCTCTGGGACCAGAGAGGTGAGGAAGACCAGAGCTGGACGGCTGGAGGGGGGGAGGAGGGGGGACGTAGGAGACGTGGAGTGTCCCGGCTGACGTGGACACAGACTCGTTCCTCCTCTGCCGGTCTGAGTGAGAGTTATTAGAGTTTTGGTTGTGGTGGGACTGAGTGTTACCGTCCTCGTCCCGACCCCGTCTGTCCTTTTCTGGTCCAAGAAACCGGCCCTCCCCTCCTCCCCCACCAGGAGGGACGGTCGTCTGTCGGGGAGAAAATCTAGATCTGGGCTCCCCTGTGGATGGCTGGGACCTCAGCTGGTGGGGATGGAAGGACCAGCCGTCCCTGTCCCGTTCTCGGTCTGCGTCGCGGTCCCTCTCTCTGTCCCGGTCTCTGCTGGCTCGCCGGTCCTCGTCGCTCCGCCCCTCCTGCGTCAGGTCCACCACGCTGCGCGGTCGGAGCTCCTCACGCAGCTGCTCTCTGTCTCGTTCCTTCTCCCTCTCTCCTCGGTGAGACCGGTCTCGACCCCCGTCCCGGGATGGTCTCTGTGGGGGCGTTGAACTGGACGGGGTGGACGATGAGGCGGATGGGGGGTGGAGAGGAGACTGTCTCATAGAGGACTGCAGGAAATAACCATCTGAAAGACAAACGTAAGAGCAGAGCCATGAATCACAGCTACAGCACAGACGGCATCGATCAGCTGGACGGACCTTTATGGGGGTCGTAGAGGGGGTGCTGGGACAGCGAGGACGTCTCCAGGTGTCCCAGAGACAGGTACGGACTGGAGTACAGGCTGCTGGGGAGAGGAGGGTACCCTAAAGACACAAAATTACAAACATTTGTGAAGAATTCCTTCATATTTGCTACTTTATGATAAATTTAAAAAAAAAGTAATCTGCAGCTGAACATCCCTCCAAGCTGGATTTCATCCGTCAGACAAGACCAGTGCAGGAAACCGGTTCTCATCGAAAAGCAGTGTTTACTTCCAATTACATCCCGGTATACCGGTGAACAGCCCAGACAACGTCCGGAACGTTGGCAGTGGGAAAGTGTTTCAGCGGAGACCAATGTTACCGCTACACACAACACAACGGCATGTGTGAAAAGTAAACATTTAGCATGCTAACCACAAATCTAGCAGAGGTAGCCAGGCCAAAAATGTGCAAAATTGCATAGATCGCAGGACACGTACGCGTTAACGCACAAATAACACAGTTAGCGTGGCGTCTACGTGCCGTTTCACACGTACATGTCGTGTGTATTTGGCTTGTGGCTGAGGCCAGATTAGCCTGGGGCTGTTCACTTGGCTGCTGATTGGCTGCAAGAGCTTGGGTTAAACCAATGCACCTGGGAGAAGAAGGGGTGGCTGCCAGGACTGATTCACAGCACAGACCACGCTGTTGTTTGAAGAGTAAAACGTCATGCTAGGGCTGGGACAATAATCAATAAATCAATCATTTTTCCAGCCTCGACATATCGATCTTTGACAGACACGTGACCTAAATGTCAACCACACCCCATTAACGCAATTTTAGGTGTATGACTCGTGTTGCTAGGGAAAGCCGCAGCTGAAGCAGAACAAGAATCAACAGGATGGATAAAGAGAACAAGGACCAACACATCGCTTACAGGGATAAAACTGTGAAGAGGCTAGAGATCGGTATTTTCTAGGGTTGTCACGGTAACCGGTGTAGCGGTAAACCCCGGTAAAAAAGTTGACAATAATAATAACCGTCTTGTTTTTAAAAACCTATATTATCTCGGTGGGATTACCGTGGCTGCGGTGTAGGCGCGGTGACCCTTACCAGCCACTGTATCATCTGCTGAAGTTGCCGGCGGCACATGCGCGCTTTGTTGTTTACGACCAAAACTTTCTTGAAGCTAAAGCTGAAATAATGGCCAAAGGAGGAGACGGCAGCGATCAGGACATTTATTATCCCTCAAAGAAGACAAAGTGGGAAGTACGGGCATTTTTTGGATATTTGAAGAATGCCGAGGGACAGTTGATAGAAGACGGCTATCCTGTTTGCAGCACGAGCAGAAAAAGTGTCTGTGAAAGGCAGCAACGCTTCAAATCTCATGACACATCTGCATGACCATCACCCACAACCAGTGTTGGGAGTAACGCCGTTTAAGTATAACGGCGTTTCTAACGGCGTTCTTTTATAGGTAACGGAATAATCTAATTAATTACTTTTCCCGCCGTTGCAACGCCGTTACCGTTACTGGGGACGGAAGGTTGTGCGTTACTATGTGCTTGTCGAACGTTGAGCAACAGTGGGAGGCTTTCTGACCGCCACACTTCAGCTGCAGCCAGGGAGAGAGAGGTGTCGGTAACGCACTTACAAACACGATGATGATTGGCCGGGTGGGCGGAGACCCTCAGTGTTCTCACTGTCTCAGTCGCTGCTGCTGGAGACACAACAAAGCAATGACGGGAATAACTCCGTTTAAAATAACCGCGTTAATAAAAAATATTTCTTTCTGTAACGAGCAATCTAATTAATTACCGTCTACTTTTATCAAAACGTCGTTTCTGTTACTGATAAGAAAATGCGTGCATTAAGCAGCGAGGTGTGTTGAAGCTGTCATCAGCTGATCAGGAGCTAAAGAGGTAGATGTTTAAGAGCATCACGGCCCGTGAAGAACGAGGAAGACGTGATGAATAGTCTACGGCTGTTTCTGATCATGTCTTTAGTCCCGCTGTAACACTGCTGCATCAGTCTCAGACGTCATGGAGCGCAGGTGTTATTAGAACTACCTGTGTGTGTTTACCACCCAGCTTCAGCTCTTCTGTGGTTGGGTCTGACCCAAGTTAGTAAATGTGAGTCCTCCATCAGGCTTGTGCCTCTTCTAGTGTCATTTTAAAGGATATGTATTTATTTATTTATTTATTTAACTGTTACTAGATTACCAGCAACAGAAATGCTGCTAAAAACACACAATTATGTGAAGCTGGAAAAATTTGAATACTGTGCAAAATTACATTTATTTCTGTAATTTAACTAGACCGAGATACCATTTAAAGGCTCGGGAACCTTTACAGGTGTTTCTATTTGCAATTTTAAATTTTAGCTGATTGGGGTCTTGTTAAATATCACACAGTGACCTTTTAATAGTCTAGATTAGTGTAATGTTCCTATTAGTAGTTCCTCCTGTTAAGTGCTTATTTGTTTAAATTATTCAGGTTTATATAAAACATTTGGACATACATTTTATTATGTTCCAGTCATTAGTCATTTATATTTTACTATTGTAGTAATTCTTGCATTCTTTAATGAAAAAAGTAACTAAGTAGTTACTTTAGTTGGTAATTAGTTACTTTTATGATCTTGTAACTCAGTTAGTAACTGAGTTACTTATTTGACAAAGTAATCAGTAACTATAACTAATTACTTTTTTAAAGTAACGTTCCCAACACTGCCCACAACTCTACAGTCAACGGAAGGCAAGCTAACGTTAGCGTTTTAGCTAAAATGCGTGATCCGAGGATTTGGGCTGAGGGAGAATGCAACGAGTCGCTATATAAAGCAGCCGCAGCGCCGCTACCTGCATATAAACCGTGTCGCGGACACCGCCATGTTGAAATGACGCTATGCATTACGGGGCTCCCAGGGACAGATAAGAGTTGGTCTCTCTCCGAGAATAATTATGAATTTAACAATGATTACTGCCTGCTGACATTTGCCCACATCTGCAACGCTCACTGGAAGGACACAAACCGAGGACAATATTTTCCTGATATAGGGTTTATTACTCAAGTAAGGGTAAAAAAAGTATCTGATTAGAAGGCTACTTGAGTACTGAGTATCATCTGATCTAATATTTTTAAAATGATGACATCAAACAGACAAAAAATAAGTTATGGGCAAATATTGGTATTTTAAAGAGGAAAAATGCAAACAAATAAACAACATAATTACAAAATAACACATTTTAGACACAAACTGAGGACAATATTTTCCAGATATACAGGGTTTATGTAGTTTTCTGAAAATTTAACACGTCTAAAAAAATACCGCGATTATACCGAAAACCGTGATAATTTTGGTCACAATAACCGTGAGGTTAAATTTTCACACCGTGACAACCCTAGTATTTTCAGAAATAGTCTAAAATAAATAACGTAGATCTCAATGACTTTAAAGGAAACAAACAAATCTCAGATGTTTCATTACTGCTGTAAATATATCACTTGAGCAAAGGTAGCACTACTTCAACATATTTATAATCAAGTAAAAGTAAAAAGTAGCCTTACTAAGTAACATGACTCCACTAACACAGGCGCTGCGCCGGGTTTTAGTTTCAGCCGAGGGAGAGCAACTCCAGCGCCTTGCTCCAAAATCTGCGGCCGCCTTGATCTCACGAGGTTATCGTTGCCTACGTATGCATGACTCAGAGCAAGTCGGCGTCAAGTCGGACACAAATCTAACCGGCATGCACTGCTCGCCAATCACCGCTGGTCTAATCTGCACAAAACTGGTTCATCTCGAACCCAGCCAATGGCTCGAGTACAGCAAAGCGGAGTTGGTGATGTACTGCGTTGTATGCCGGAAGTATGCGACGACAAAAATCGAGTTTTGTTGAGGGAACAAACAAATTCAAACTTGAATACTTTATTATGTTTGTGAATGTGTACAAAATAAAGGTTTATTACATTTAAAACGGTTGTTATTTTGACTCGTTTTGGCAGCTGACCAGCGGGGCCGGTAAATATTCAGTTACCGGCCCGGCTGGCCGGTTGGTTTTGAAGTTAATGTCCACCCCTGAGATATATTGTGCATCCCTACTAAAAATTTAAAAACATGATTAAATTGTTGTTTTTTTGTGTGTAAAATCCTTCGAGCTGACCACGGGTCAGTCTGCCCATCAGGCCCAGAGACCGGATCTTAATATAGACCCCCTGGCTTGAAACTTTTCCTGGAAAGGTCCGCCTCACAGACGGGAAAAGCCCCTGGCCTCCCACTGAGTGTGTTTTTAAAGCAGCCATTAACAACGACAAAGGAAGCAGCTAATAAAAGATCAGAGATTCCTGTTGAATGAAGGTCAGCACAGAAGCATAAAGAAAGTTGTTCAGACGTGGCTCTTTGACCTCGAGCGCTGGCTGGTGCCGTGTCAGACCCACAGATAAACTAAAGGAAGACTGGATGGATTTCCTCTAACTACCGATAACAGCTGATGAGAATCGTACACACACAGCTAAGCATGGCTGCTTACAAACTCCCTGAAAGCATCCTAGAAGCTTCAGCTGCTCTAAAATCAGACATCAATCATTAATTGTGTCTCTCCAGTTGGGAGGGGCTCCGGTTGTGTCAGATAAAGAGTTCTCGGCCTGCATAACGGCGTTAGTTTCTTTAGCTTTACATATCAAAGCAGCAACGACGGTAAACTTACATCCAGTACCTGCTTCCCTCATTAAAACAGGAAGTCAGACTACCTCAGGAATTTACCTGATTGTGTAACAGGTTCAAAGCTCACAAAACCAGACTCAAAACCAGAAGATTCACATTTTTATTCAGATTCAGCCCCAAAACAAATATTAGTTGTAAACGTTTCTCTGTTTGCTTGTCCGCTTTTTTAACCTCACTTCAGTTTTAATTTTCAGTTCCTTTTGTGTTTCAGTTATATAAAATAGCAGAAAGGAAAAACAAAAGTGATCAGATCTGACTTGATGGATTTTTACTATTTTGATGTTTTTTATTGTAATGACCAATGTTAGCTGGTAAATTATATATCTTTTTAAGGATTTTGCTTCAACAGACAGCTTGGTCTGAGTAAATCAGTCCTGCTTAGCTGACTCCGCACCTTAAATGGA